AAAAATCAGCTACAGTAGCTTGTAGTGTAGCGCAACTTGACAAGCCACACTATCATAAAGGTCAGATTCTTTTCAACTGCATACAGCTACGCTGCACACAAAATATATGGTAGTGTGTTGTAGCATAGCTGTCTCAGCGTTAGTGGTAGTTCATTTGTCACAAAATGTTTTATTTTATAATTTAAAAGCTTTCAATCAATAGTAACAGAGGTTTAGTGAAAATTCTATAAGAGCATCACCACCGGGCCGTGCAAATAGGCAAATACAGGCCATTTACACGCCGTGTGGGAAAATATTAGAGCCACTGGACCGTGTAAACAGCCTGTATGGGTTACACTCCGTCCAAATTTCGACCAGGAGAGTATAGGACTACACTCCGTCCAAAACTCCGAATAGCACCAATTGGTACGTACCGTCCGACCTCACGATCAGGTCATATAACGATGAGAAACTACGATGGCAGGCACTGACAACATATCAGTACATCCCTCTTTGACATATTCTCTTGCTACGCTCATTTGGTCAAAAATTTGTTTTGACTGTTGCGTGTTTGCACAGCAACGATTTTGTCAATCACCGTGTAAATTTCCTATACAGGCTGTGACCTGTCAAACCGTCATTGTACAGAAGGCATATTTGCACGGCAATGGTGGTGATGCTCTAAGGAAACAAAAGAAATGGTGTGAATCTTGACTTTTGCACTTACATAATGATACACATGTAGCAGCATTTACATGACAAAAGCTCATTTTCTCAATCTCTACATCTGAATAACGTATTCATAAAGCATCAGAAGTATTCCATAATTGGGCAATAAATGATCAGCATCAAGAGAGCTATGAAATGAGCTATAGTAATCCTAAATTGAACAACTTTACAAAAAAGTTGTGATTCTAAAAATAGTTTTCAGTTATTGATATTAGGAAAAAATCCCCTGTATTCATCATAAGAAATTCTCATCATCATTTGTAAACATCAATTGATCAATCTCACAACTTAAATCATGTAAAACATTAATAATAATGACATCATAGGATTACATCAGAGGGATTTTGTTGGTCTTTGACGGTTTTGTTGGTTTTCAAATGTCTCAATCATTGTGTTGGTGTTATATATTATCAAAGGAAGGATTTGGGTGTTGGTTTTGCCCTTTTTCTTGATCATTTACAACATTATCATTTTTTTTCTCATCATAAACTTATTTTAATAGTCCCTGGTCACTTAAATACACCCTTTGTTACAGCTATAAAGAGAGATTTACTGTAGCGTTGTAGTGTTTGTGACACTATGAAGTCTTTGGGAATAATATCAGAAGAATATTGTGACTTTTTCTCTTACTTATCAGGTTGGAATAACACTATAAGTGTTGAGAGTCAATTAAGACTGCTATTTCATTTGAAACTCATGCTTTTTTGTCCTTTGAAAGTTGATTAAGATACTTTTCTCTTTTGATCCTTATCAATACTCAATTCAACAGAGACCCCCTTTCTGGTTGTCTTGTTTTAGGAGGGCAGTCTTCAGGCATCTTCTACTAGTCCCTTATTGGTACATTTTACCCTTCACACTCTGTATAACCCTTGTTGGGTTATAAGTTCTACAACATTTCAAATTTGGTCTACCTTTCCATTTCAGACGCCAATTGCAATCAGATTAGCAACCAAGGTTTTTTTCTTGTGGTGCCTCACTTAGTTTCAGTGAGGCACAGGGTCTTTCATTATTATATTGTGAGTGAATAATGAAGGTCTTTGGACTAGTCAGGAAGCCTTGCATTGCATAGTAAGGACATGGAAAGTTCCAGAAAAGGAACTTTTTATTTCCTTACTTTTGCTAGACACCACAGAGGTGTGACAATGTTGTTGTCTAACATATAAACTTATGACCTTTTAAAAGTGATTCATGTTGAACTTCCGTCCATTTTTTCTTGTCCGGTTCAACTTTGTGAGCTTCAATCACAGCAAAGAGCTATGGATTTTGAAACTAATTTGCTGTGAAGGGTTGTTGGTGTGGTATAGCATATATGATATATATATATATATGTACATGGAGCCCAATTGTAATTCATCCTCCTCAGTCTTAAGCTTTGGCTCTTTGATGCATCAAGTGTAGGTAGTTTCTGAATGAGATCTCATTGGAACAAGAAATGCAGACTTTAAGGAATCTAGATTGTCTTTACAATTCTCACTTTGATTTTTTTCAGAATTTTGAAAAAGGCATCAAATGTGATGGGGGCATAGAGCAAGATGAAGGATTGAAAAGACACACAAACATTTCCAACCCCATCTCAATCCAGAGCTTCATTGCTCACTTCCTTGCCTGTCACCACACCACACCAGCCCTCTCATAACTTCCTCTTCTTGGCAATCCTATCTCCTTAGGCCAGTTTCTCTTGATCATTTTAACCTTGACTTGTATTGTCTATGTATCTTGATTTCAACTTTGCTACAATTCAGTTTTAATTTATCTGATTCCTTTGCTTTAGATGTTTTTACACACATTGAATAGAATTCAACAAAAGTAAATAATACAATACTTTGAGATAAGATAAAGACTAAAGTCAAGAGATTGAAGTTGAATTATGATGAGATGAAGTTCTATCCAGGATTGCAATAAGGATCAAAAATTCCAATAGACAATCTTTCTTCATTATTTTGACTTTTTCTCTGTTTTTCAATGTATTGAAATGTGTAACTTGATGATAGGTAGTGATCTTAAAAAAACTTAAAATTAATATTCTATTACTCTCATTTCCTTTCTGGATTGCTTGATTGCTTGATCAATTGATTGACGAGGTCACAGCCGAGAAAAACTGTTATAGTAGTTCTTAGAGTGCCTAAAGAGGCTCTAGCATAGATATTGTCAATGAGTGTGAGTTGTTCAATGAAGAACACTGAGGGTTCTTTTGGGAGCCATGCCATTGCACCATATTTGGTGGGTGGATAGATTGTGGTTTTCATGATTATCTTGATGATTTTCAGTGGGATTCCACATCCCATTTTTGACAGGCCTGCAAGGAATCCTGCTCACGGATGTCCTTTTGTAAGCATATCAAGTTGTTGTTGCTTGAAGGCGAGTTTCTTGTCTCTTTTGACCCCAAGCCACTTGACAAAAGGGGATGGTTTGATGTGCTTCCTATTGGCATAGTCAACTGTGGGGATCACTTCATGTGTTTGTAAGCTGAAAAGGACCCAAAAGCTCTTTTTTATGTCAAAGATGGCACTATGATCCTTCACCCACCGCTGTTGTTGAAACAAAAGGGTTCACATCTGGGAACCAAGCTATTGAGTGTCAATAGCTGAGGATAGTAACACAACATTGTTGATGAAACCTAACACTGTTGCTGTTGGTATATTGTCAGTTATCTCCAGAAGCAATGAATTATAAAGAAGATAGAGTAGAGGAGATAACAGCAAGCCATGGTCAAGTGAACATGATTGGGATTCAAAGCCATTAAAGGTGAGGACTGTAGATCTTGAGGTGATAAAATCACATATGATATTAAGTGTCTGTCACCATGTCTGTGTGGTGTTTGCCCCTCAACAAGCGCACACAAGTCACCTTTGTGCCTCAAAGGCCGTCCATGTGCACTCATTTTCAAGAGACTGCCACAAGGTCACGGTGTGTGTATCAATCACTTTCTTTCCTAGGGTGGCCAGGAGACATGGGTGGTGTATAGACAGCAATGCAGATTTGGAGTCTGCAAACAAAGCACCTACAACCCCAAACTTGTCCATCACTGCACAGTTGAGCTCATTAGATCAAAACATCTCAAAATTGGTGATGTTGTATCTCTTGAGGAAATCTTGAGTTTGTTGATCTTCTGGCTTGATTGAACAAAACTCAAGGTAATTGTTCAAGGATGGGGTTGTTGCTTGTTTTTTTCCCAAAGAAAAAAGACCATTGCCAAGTTAGGGCACTTGAGAACGTGATGAATCTGCAGATGGTGCAGCCAACACCTGACCATTCCTTCAAGGGTGGATCAGCCCTCACACAAATTCAAGTCCTCTGGGAGGACTTGTGTCTGTGACTCCTGGAACCTTATTTGCCTACGTCAAGGTAATCAAAACAAAGCCAATACATTGAATCTTTAAAACATTATCTGGAGAAACAGATGGACTTACAATATCAATTGATCATAAGTCAATTGTGGAATGGCCTAGATGCATTGACATGGTAGGGCTTCTTGGGTTGGCCACTCCTATACATTCCCTAGCACCAATTCTTGCTATACATATTCACAAGCTGGGCTTGTATACCCTCCACAGCTGGATCAACCTCGATGCCCTAGCTCGAGAGATTAGTTAGTATCAAACTTCCAAGTTCAATGTAATGTAAAGAAAAAGACACTTCTTACATCCATCTTGAGTCCATTCCGTCAAGCAGGATCCAATGCTGCCAGATTGGTATGTACCATAGCTTTATCAAATCTGAGTGCCTTTTTATTGTCAAATTTAGATATGAGTCAAAAGCTTATAATGCAGAAAAGTCAAAAGGAAAGAAACAATGACTTGCCTTTGAATTGGTGCGAGCTGTTTTTTCGTGGGTCCTCCATCAAGACACAGAACCCGATCTCTTTACCTTCCTTGGTTTTCGCCATCTCCTTGAAAGTTGTGAATCAAAAAGGTTTGAAAAAAATGCTCGTCACCTTCTTTATACGCTTACGTATGACTTTCCTTCTCAACCGAATATAAACTTGATTGATAAAACTATCAATGCTGAATTCTATTGATGCGCATCTTCTTGATAACACCTTGACCTTGATCAAGAAAAACTATAGATGATCGATATCTCTGAACAGCGTTTCATTTCATTTCATCTCAAAAAAGTAACTTCAAACACTACCTATTGGTATTTTCTTATATACTGTCTAATCCTGTTAAAATGCTTCATCCGAACAAATTATAGTGTTACATAACCAACCCATTCCCTACCACAAGAATTCCTCACAAACCTATAACTCGACAATACAGCAATGTATTTTTGGTTTGATCGAGTTTTAAATTTCATGTCAAACTGAATGTCGAATCTTTCTTACCTACTTGAATCCACAACAATTGTCTACCAACAGCTACAGCCAAAACATCATGATTACTGATCATCGGTTGCCATTCAATATCATGAACTCTTGATCGAGATTGAATGATTTCATCAGGTAATTGTACGGTTCTAGGTGCTATTGAATAATTTGATCAAGAATCAAACCAGTTTGATGGTCAGATCCAAACCAAACCAACCAAAAAAACAGATTGATATCTTAGAATTAGACTTACATTGTGGAAAAGATGTAAAATAAATTTGAATGGCTCCGATTCCAGAAGTGAAAGAGTTGGGAGAAGAACTTGAAAGAGCAAATAATCTAGAATTGGTTGGGCACCATCTAATCCCCCCAAAATCAAAACAAAAGATCAAGTGGGGTTTTAATTAAATTCTTAAAATCATCTTTGGATTGAAATCAATTTAAAAATATTCAAGCTTTTCTCTTTTTTTATAAAAGAAATCTCAAAGTAAAGTGAAGGTGAAAAGGGTACTCACTTGAATACATCCGGTATCACATCCTGAGAACCAGTTTCACCCGTTGCCATTGGATTTCCAGCTTTAGTAGACCTTAAATCCCAAACAGACCAACGATTACCATTAATAGCACCAAAGACATCTACTTCATCTAATTTCCATTCAGCCATACCAAACCTTTGAGAAAACAAATGAGTCGAATTAAGTTTTCGAATCAATGATCTAGGTTCGATTAAACTCAAAAGAATCGGTTGATTAGGTTTAGTCCAATCTATGATTTTGATTGTTCCAGTTAAATCATATACCATCAATCTACTTGATGAATTCGGATGAAAACTGATGGAAATCGGTGTAAAACGTAATGGACCTAATAAAGTAGGAGATGGAATATGATGGGTATCTTCTTCTTCTTCTCCTGTTCCTGAAGGATTGGTTTCTATGTTCCATATCAAAATACAATTATCTGATCCTGATGACGCGATTATATTTGAATAACCCGAAACTGAACACCAAGCTATTGATGTTATCCTTCCTGAATGACCTGTATAACCTTGACCAAAGACTTTAATTGAAGTCTTTGATTTGGTTTGATGATTCCTAGGGTTTGATTGAGATTTGATTAATCGTAAACTTTGATCTTCACATGCAATCAACAATCTATATATATGTATACAAATGCCAAAGAAAAATAAATCATTCAAAATTAGAGTCTCGTTTTTATTTGGATTTGGATTTTCATTTCAGAGATGGATAGAAAATTACTGACTCATATTTCAAAATTTCAACATTGTCTTCTGTAGTAATAGAAGAACAAGGACCCCAAGCAATATGTTGAATCCGATTACCAATTCTAAAAACTTCAATGACAGTAGAACTATAATCTTCTTTTACCCTTAAAATTTGTAATGTATTCGTTGTACCTAAATCGATTCATAAATACCAAAAGATATAAAAAATGATTTCGAAAAGGTTAGTTAAATCGAAAAAGAAATAAAGAAATCATAAAGAGAGAGAGAGAGGAACTAACCTACTGCTAATAAGTTGTGAATCGTATTTGAAAATTTAATTTTATAAACTTCTTCTATACCAAAGTTTTCTTTACCGATCAAGATATCCGACATTATGATGGATTGACTTGAATAGCTCAGTAGGCTCAGTAGGATTCCATTGAGGTGAGTTCAAAGCGAAACTCAAGAATCCAAAAATAGCAAGCGAAGGGATGAGATGGTTTTCTAAACCCATACCTAAACCAAATCAAAACCCATAAACAAAGCTCACTCCTCCAAAAACGAGTCAAGTTCAAATATGCACACAGACAATCTCTCATCTCATTTCAAATGATCTCAATCCAAACCATCGATATATTACTTATAACAGATATTTTTATTTTTCAAAGATTGTAACCCACAAAAGAACAAAAACAATTCATCACTCAATCTGATACAAGAACTCAAAACGAAATCAAACGAAACACTTCTAGGACGCACAGCTATACAAGATATACAGATCGATAAAGAAGAAAACGAAAAAGAAAAAGAATAAGGAAAAGAAAAGATGTAGGAGAATACTTCAAAAGTAACTGAAAAACGAACAGGTTTCAAGATAAAGATCAGATGATAAAAGTGATAAAACAAAAAAAAGACTAAAAACGAAAAGTCCAAAACAAAACTAAAAGAAAGAGATGTAAAGAAGAAGAAGAAAAAAGAAAAGTAAAAGAAAATTTAATTTTGATCTGTTGAATGGAAAACAAAAAGTCTTGTTGGTTTTATTGATTTGAAGGATTTGAATTTGATTGAATCTATCATAAATAATATCAAAAAAGTAAAGTAAGTATAAATTTAATAAGAAGTGTAAAGAATTGATGATTTTTTTTGGTTGTTTTTTTCTTCTTTTTTTTCTGGATGTTTTGAAGGGAAAAATGAAACTTTGAAAAATAGATTGGTCTTTGGGTAGAATGATGATGATCTAAAGATAATTAAATAGCTTTAAAGAATTATATCGTAGATGTTCCTTTAGTTTTACAAACTTGAGAAGTGGTGAAAAACACACACACACCACACGCACTCGATAAAGAATTTCAAGCAAAGATTCAATCTTCTTGACTATAAGAAAACAGAAGGGATAAATTTTATTAGTAAAAGATTGTGTCAAAATCAAATCAAGAATGAAAATTGAGATCACTAGTGACTCACGAATCGAAATCAAAAAAAGAACTATTCTCAATCCAATTGATCACTGAATCATACTTAGATCGATCATCCCTTAAACTTTTCTTTTTTCTTAAACTTACATTCTCATTTGTAAGGGTTTCTTGATGTTGTCGTTGATGTTGTTTTTGACTTGAAGTTGAAGTTGATGTCGAATTTGAATGTTGATGTTGATGTTGATTTAAATTAGAATTGAATTTAGGTGATAAAGGTGTGATTGGGATTTCATCTTGAGCAGTTGCAGTTAAAAAACTTGATTCTTCACTACAAGATTTAAATGATTGAGATCTAGAGAAATTCGAACCCGTCTCGATTTCTGAATCGACTTCATTTTCATTCATCAAATCAGTTTGTTCTTTTTCAGTTAAATCCTTTACATCAAATTGATTTGATGATTGTTGAAAGCTTTCAACGTGAATCGGATTAGGTGAAGCCTTTGCAAATGCAATCGTAGGAATATCTTCTCTAAGATTTCTTTCAGATTGAGTTGATTGAAATGAATTAGGTTGATCTTCATGAGTTTGTGTTGTTAAAGAAGACGAGATCGAACGTCTTAATTTAGGACCATTGAGAGCAGCAAACCCACCAGTAGATTGACGACGAGCAGAAGGTAAAAGAAGTGAACTGTAAGGTGAACTAAAAGTAGTAGCTTCTGGAATAGTAAAACATGAACTACTAGCAGAAATTGAAGAACCAGAAGAAATCAAACGACTTGATCCAGCATGATCTTGTGGAGGTGATCTAATTCTTGAAGTTTGTGATGAGTTTCTTTTTCCTGGTAAAGATGAACTTGTTGAACGATTTAAGTGTTCATGTAATGGAGTATAAGGAGATTTAAACGTATTGTATTCAAGACTAGTAAAAGATGATCTAGAAGTTGAAGAAGAAGCTATAGATCGAGTATCTGATGAAACCCGCCTTTCACTTTTCCACGTAGGTGATAATAATGGAGCTGGTGTGGGTGTGATGGTTGTATGATAGATATATTGTTTTTGTAAGTTTAATGCTTTGGGTTTAGATTGTCTTGAAGAGACTGAAGGATTTGTCATATCTGATTCTTCATCTGAATCTGGCGTAAAATCAAGAAAAGAACAACTAGCTGGTAATAAAGAACTATCGGTGATTCGAGGTTGATAATTAGACATTTTTATAAAATTGTTGCTAAGAGATCAGGTTATCAAGGTAAGTTTGTTGTTGTAACAGATGGATGGATTGTCAAAGGATCAAAGGACTTTTAAAAGAAGTAGGAAACAGCGGAGTTTTGTGTTCTTGTTCTTGTTCTTGTTCTTGTTCGAAGTTTATAGTTTCGGAAAAACTTATGGTGAGCTTCAGTCAGGTTCGATTGTGTTGTACCTAGCTTTTAGTAATTCAGGGAATTTCTTTCAAAGTGGTCAAGTTCAAAACCGTCCCTGGAGCCAGCATGAGCCAGGCATTTAAACAATCGTAAAGGTGATTCAACTCATCATACACAACATTGCGCATCAGCAAGTCATGATTTAGACCGAGATGATACATCACTCTAAGCCCTCATCATCATATCCTCCGCTATGACTTGAATTAGATGTTCTGTGAATTCCATTCGCTTGGACCAAAAACTAAGGCCAAGGCTTTTCTCATACAGGCACAACTTTATTTACCCTCCCCTCCGGTCTCACACCACAACCGGGAGATCAGATGAGTTGAAATGTTGAGATCAAAAATGATCAAGATATAGAAGAGCTAAGAGGTCTGATTCAATCCATTGGAAACCTTTCATGATGTCTGATCGGTGACTTTGAATGCGGCAAGGGCTAATGTTGGGCTTAAACTAAGCCTCCTCTCGCGCGGGGCGGTGGTCAAACGGGTCAAACTTACGCTCAGGTATCGAATTCTTTGAAAGTGTGGACCGAGAAGTAAGACCTAGTAACTAGACGCCTCAAAGCATGTTTCGGCTTTCATTTAACTTTAATTTTTTCAAAGACAAATACGGAGTTCAAAAAACGAACTGACGATGAATTCTGTTATGTGTATCTTGAATCCTGAAAATGAATATTCTCAATTATGTATCAAACAATTAAAAGATCACAAAAATCCTCAAAAATCAAAGGAGAATGTGGACATTGGTGGAGCCTCATCTGAATATGATTGAATTGCCAACATCAAATGACCTTTTCATATGAAGGCTTTTGCGCCGCTGATAATCAACAAATCAACCAGCAATGAATTGCTAGGTAGGAAACTATATACTTACCAAGTAGCACCGTGTAAGTTTTCTGGTAGCACCGTGCACATCAACGTGCACACACCAAAAACAATTCATAGAGGGATGATAGATGCTTTGAAGAGGTCTTTGCATCCAAAGACCCATTGCCTTTGTCCAGGTGCTCAGAAAGCAAGGTCAACAAAGGGGTGCTGAGATTCTCACTGAAGTTCAACAAAACTACAGAAACCTTTGTTTGTTTATTTTTTCAAATCCCTTCGTGTGCACATCAACATGCTACCGGGAATTGTACACGGTGTAGGCATCCTGGCATATCTTACATGTGCAAGAATCTTTGTTCCCTTGTAACCTTCAAGGGCGGTCTGATAATCACCTTCTGTTTTACTTACATATTGTGGGGATCTCCAATTTTCACCTCATCAGCACATAGTTGTAGTTTAGAATGAAGGAGTAGTACCCACTGAGTCAATCAGTTCACATCAAAGGTCCAGAATTGCGCGGGTAGGTTCTCCACTTTCACAAGGAGGTTTAACACCAGTCAAGAGCTAAGAAATGGTGTGAGTAAGATGATGTGATGAAATGGCAAATAGGAACAAAATAAAGTAAAAGTGACTCACTACCAGATGTGTTTTCTCTTGCATGTTTAGCCTTGTCTTTGATGTATGTAGCCAGCAACATTCTGTAACTTCAATTAAAACAAGAATTCAAGCTCAACCTCTTAGGAAAGCTTGTTTCAAATTCCATGTCATCTTAATATTATTGCGCGGTCTTTGGTGTTGTTTTGCCGACATGAGACACTCAAAATTGATAATATTGATTACATTAGCCGTGTTCAAACCAAACCCGGTTGCACAAAAACCCGGTACACCCAGTTGACTTTTTGGCTGGAAGCTGTCAAGAGCTGTCACTAGATACACAAAGTTACCACCAAAAACACAACTGGGTGTACTGGGTTCTTGAGTCGCCCGGGTTTGGTTTGAACACGGCTATTGCAGCTATGGACTATCAAAACCATAATGTTTTCATATTAATTGGTTCCAAAAAAGGTATGAGAAAAAATGATAAGACTGATATGTATATGAAATATGACTTCAGTCTCTTCAGTTCAACAAACATTTTCACCATCAACTGAAGTTAACAAAATCAAGTGGTGATGAAAAACTCTTTGAAAATTGTATGTAAGAAAGACTGTTTCAAAACTAGAAATTTCTTCCTGGGTTTACATATTAGCCTTCTAAGAGAGATCCCAAAGTACTTGACTTTGTACTATGAATGGATCATCAGGTTCATCTGTTCATAGCTGTTCATCTGTTCACCGTGGCATTGAAAATTAAAAGATATGCTTTGAAACAATCTTTAGACTTAAGCCTTAAGTTCGGGTCTTAAAACCATAAACTTAAACCTCACAAACAACCCGTGTTTCCAATAGGGCTGTGACCTGACCCCGAGCCCGCCCGGCCGACCTTGCCCGACGCTATCATCAAGCTAGACAGTACGTGCCCCGAGACACTGAAACCTTACTTGATGATAGAGGCAAAAGCCCTGCGGGCACCTCGGCCGCCCGGAATGCCCGGTATCCCAACCCTTTTCCCACTGCATATTGACTTCCAGAGTTGACAGGAAGTCACTTGACATTGAGTTGATACCCCCTTTTTTTAAGCTTCAAGCCTTCCGATCACCACCTTACCCCACCTTTCCTCCTATCTCACATCAAACTGTACTTCGCTTAAATTGTAAGTGTCAATTTTATATCAGTTTCTCATTATTATATTGATTTTAAAGTTCCTACCCTCCGTCATCGGCTTCTTCTTACCTTTTGATCCTATTTATAATGTGTAGTTAATCAATTGCAAGATGCCCAATACCCCAACCACTCGCTTATTGACTCAAGTCCTCCGTTGATCAGCAGCATCTGCTGTTTCCAATTCGATGTCCAGCACTCCTGCAAGTAGTTCTGCTCCGTCTGACTCAATCTCCAAAGTTGGTACGGAAACCACCACGACTGGACAATCTTCTTGGGTTTGGCAATATTTCACCCAAGAAGAAACCGAAGGAATGATCAAAAATGTCTGTGGAGCCAAAGCCGGTTTTGTCGACAGCTGTCTTTCTACTCAAGATGATCCGGACTTGCCCATCGTGCTTTGCAACAAAAAGCTTGCAGTGAACAAGCACGCCAGTACTAAGTCCATGATCCGCCACCTCTCTCAATGCCATCACATCAAACCACCTGTGAACACCGAGCAACATACACTATCAGCCTACTTCATAGACGGAAAGCTTGGTGAAGTAAGTTGTGCGACTTCTCTTCAATAAGATTTTCAGTCACTAATCATGAAATTATTAATCTTTCTTTTAGGTACGTCCCCTCAACCGAGTGAACCTCAAAGATGCTTTGATCCGTCTAGTGGTCAATCAAGAACTTCCGATTTATCTGGTCGATGCAAAAGAGTTTTGAGAACTCCTCACAATGCTTAACCCGAGTTCTGTGTCTATCCTTTCTAAACGCACCTGCGTCACCGATGGGATTCTCGCCAACTATTGAGCCAGCCGAGACGCCATCGCCAGACTCCTCTCGAGTGTCAGACACATCAGTGTCACTTGCGACGGATGGACTTTGCTGAGTAACGTGGCGATGTTGGGGGTAACAGCTCATTGGATCTCTCATGATTTTGAAATGCATGGTGTCACTTTAGCTTTAAAGCCAATCAAGGGACCTCACACTGGATCTAACCTTGCTAGCCTTCTCATTCACATTCTGGACTTGTTCAACATAACAGATCAGCTTTACTGCATTACAGCTGACAATGCATCGAACAATACCACCATGGGTCAAGTTCTCTCTGCTAAGATACCCCACTTCAATTCTTCCAAGCATCTGCATGGCTGTGTTGCACATGTTGTTAAGCTTGTGGCCAAAGCTGGGATGGCCGTATTCGATCGCAAGACCACTCCTCCGCCAGTGAATGCTCTTGATCCTCTTATACCTCAGCCCAACTCATCTGTGCCTCTTTTCATTGAACCAACACCTCATTCCAATGTCACCAGTATCCTCACTCAAATTTGTGCATTCCATAAGAAAATCAAACATAGTCCCCAGCTGAAAGCAGCCCTAGACAACAATATTGCAGGCAATCAATCTTTGGAACGCAAGGTGGGATTAGTACATGAAGTCTCCACACAATGGTCTTCCACTCATGATTGCCTCAAACGATTCTACAAACTTTGTTGACCCATCTGTTATACATGCAAGGGTAATCCAGCACTTGAAGAATACTCACTCACCAACTCTGAAATGGAACTTGTTGGTACTATTGTCAAATTTTTAGCCCCTCTAGCTACAACTATCAGTGAGATTGAGGGTTACCAGTACCCCACTTTCTCCCGAGTTATGCCTGATTATCAATGGTTGGTTGAACGCCTTGAAAAAGTAAGTGGTCTCTGTACATTTGCTAGTTCTTTAGACTATGAACTGATATACTTTATATTTCATATAGGCCTGGCATGACTCTGCTTGTAAGGAATTAAAGGTGTCCATCATGCCCATGATGAAGAAGATTGTACAATATCAAGAGGCGGCTCAGAAAAAAGCGGTGTACCTATGTGCTGCAATCTGAGATCCTCGTCTCAAACTCATGGCGGTCAAAGGCCCTACTCTTGAATCTTTAGGATGGGGACCTGAAGACTTGACTGAGTATTTTACTGAACGAGCCTCAAAATTTGTCCTCGCTCCCGACCCCAATATTGAAATTGTCAAAAATCAACCTTCTTTCAACCCCGATTGTCCTCAACATTATATTAAGCGGCGCAAGACGGTTCCAGTTCAGCATGAAGTCACCGAGTACCTCACCGCCCCTCAAGAGGACAAGCGCTGCGATGTCCTTGGCTACTGGCGACTTGCTCAACGTCACTGGCCCATTCTCTCCCGTATGGCGCAGGCCATGCTTGCCGTGCCTGCCACTAGTGCTCCGTCAGAGAGCACTTTCTCTAATGCTTTGAGGGTCATGAGCGACCACCGTGCTTCTTTCACTCCTCAAAACCTCGAAGCGCAAGTCTGCCTTAAGAGCTGGGTCCCAAAGTTAAAAAAAATGAGACTAACTTGTGATCTTTGCTTTCTAAATGGAACGTTCCTCATAAACTTAAATTTGATACTATGCTTAATGTTAGATTACTATACATGAATAATCAATTTGTTTGTTGATCAAAGCCTCTAGGCCTTCATTTAATTTCTTATACACGTAGAATTGCAATACAAGCCAAAAACTCCCTTGTCCAGACCCATTTTGCCCTTTGATTTGAGCCGTAGCCCTGCCTAACCCCGAGCCACAACATTCAGGGCCTGCCCTGGTTGGCCCAATCAAAATTTTGAACCAATCGGGTTTATCCGGGGCCGGGCAAAGTCCCGGGGCCGGCCCTGCAGCTTCGTGGCCGGGTCACAGCCCTAGTTTCCAACCCCAAACCCAATCCGCATCCCGACCCGATTCTTTTTTTTTCTTCACGCGGCTCAAAACTTAAATTTCATCATTCCATCACCTCTCCCAAAAATTAAACCCACCTGAAGGCTCAACCCATTTTCCAAATCCTCAAGACTCAACTCTCCACAAACCTTCAAACCCCGCACCATTTTTATCAAAATCCATATATCCAAAGAAAAAAACCATGATTAAATCAAATATCAATTCAATAAGATTACCGGTATCAAAAGATCCTAACCAAGAAAGCATAATCCAAGAATTGTATAATGGTTTACCGGCTGGATGGTCTACGAATGAAAAAAATGAAGTTTTAAATGAATTAGGATTAGTGATGGTAAATATTGAAGAAAGAGAAGAAGAAACCCAAGAAATTCAAAAAAACGAAAACGAAGCTAAACAAAAAACAAAAGAAATCATGAATGAAAAACCCGAATATGAAAATGATCCAAAACCCAAACCAAACCACCAATTACCCAAACCGATATCCGAACTCTTGAACGAACTAGAACTGGAAGAGATCGCCGAAGAAAAACTAAACCAAACCCCAAAAGAAACATCAGAAGACACCACGAGTTTTTCAGATTCGGAAGAAGAAATCGACAACAAAGATTTCCAAGAAGAAGAAGAAGATTTACAAAAAGTTATAAGCCAATTAAAGTTAGAACAAGAAAAAGAAGATTTAAAGAGTTGGGGAAGCAAAGGATTAGAAGGATTAAAGAATGCATTTCAATCTAACCTTACAACAAAAACTATTGAATCGGATTCAAGTTTAGAAAACCTAAAACTTCAGAATCAAAACTTATCTTCTTCTACAGTTCAAGGTTCAAAACCTAAAAAATCAGTTAGTTTTGCACTCGATCCAGATTTATCTAAAGATCCCACTCATTCAACTTCAACTTCAAATCCTTCAAGTTCATCAAATCCTTCGTTACCTATTGGAGGCATCATGTTACCAGATATCATTGAACATCCCATCAAAACCTCATCCCTTCTTCAAGCCGCCCAACCCAACCGAAACCCAATCAATGGTCAAAACGCTCACTTGAATCCTCGCTTAGCAAGTTTATTACCCAAATCATATCTTCAATCGCACCAAACCCCCACCGAGAATTTCGAACCAAGTAGTAGTAGTAGTAGTACTCAACCAAATCACAATCAAGGATCTTCAGAAGAAGAGTATGAAGAAGATTATGATGAAGATCAGAGTGATGAAGATGACGAAGGATTATACGAACTAAGTGAAGAAGAAGAAGATCAAGAAGGATGGTCCAATGATGTAGATCTCCAAACGGCATTAGATATGAGAGAAGCAGCCTTAGAGTATCATTCGAAACGCCAAAGCTTAGGGATCGGAATCGGAAGTGGATCATTAGGAGGAGAAGATGTTCCGATAGATGAGAATGAAGAAGAAGAATGGGTTCCACTTGATCATCAACCAAAAGCTAATGGGATTCCAAGACAAGTACCTAGTACTTCTAGATTCAAATCAGGTCGATTGTCTAGATGGAAATCTAAGATGATGTCTAGTACCAACCCAAACTTAGAAACAGAACAAAGCTTAATAAAAGAAGGCAAGTTGTTAGGAATCGAACCGATTGTCCAAGGACGGTTACCGATCAATGGATCAACTGTTTATCAATTACCAAGTCGAACTGAACAATCTACTGAACTGGATGAAGACTTAACGGCCGAAGAAATCCAGGTCTTATCTTCTCGATTGAATATCTTATCTATGGATGAAGAAAGTAGAATAGCAGCTGAACGAGCTGGACATGAATTAATGGGATGGATGGAAAAAGTTAAAAAAGGTGAAGTTTTAATACAACAAGAAGAAGAAGGGTTTATGGAGTCTCAAGTTAATGAAGAGAAGATGAATGGAATTCTTGAATCGAAGATGATGAAGGAAGTTGTGGAAGTGGATTCGATGGAAGGGGTTTCTTTAAGATCTGATCTACCACCCGAAATTAAGATTGTGAAAAAATCAAACACAAAACTTGATGAAACTGGTTCTAAACCTCAGATCAGTTTGTTGACCAGCACGACGTAAGTCTGATTTCTTTCCAAAATGTTATCAATGAAAATTGAATCCTGATCTTGATTTTGACTACGAGATTGATTACTTTTAGAAATGAGAATCATCAAAAGAAAGGATCTGATTCGAAAGAAATCTCACATACTCTTCCAGTGGCTAAAAAACTTTCAAGATTTAAATCTGAGAAATTAAATCAACAACAATCGTTTTGAAATCTTTCTCTTTGAAAAAAACAATCATGATCATTTGAATTTGATTGTAAAAGATTTATAATAGAGGTATGTTTTAATGAGTTCATTCCTTGTTCTTTTCGTCTTTTGCCTTTTTATTTCTGTTTTGCTATGATGATAAGATCATGATTTATTTAATTGGGTTTGAATTCATGATTTTAGTTACAGTTTATTTTTTCGTAATAACCCATAAGTTTTCATTTTGTTTGGTTAATAATGATGATGTACTAATAGCTTACTATACATACAAGACATTGAAAGTTGAAACGGCCCCAAAATAATGAAGAAAATAAGCATCAGACTTTCTAATGGTACATCATCAAGATCTAATGAAAGCATGAGCTAGATGTACATATAATGAACGGTTCCGTCCAGAATCTTCAAGAAGAAAACCAAACCCACCAAAACTTTGAAAGAAGAGACAGATTTTGTACAAGAGCGGGACCGAAGAAATGAAATGTGTGTGTAAAAGATGTGAAGAAGAAAGACTCCTATGATTAGATTTTAAGTTTTTGAAGTTTTTAGGATGTTAACTCCTGTGAGTGTGGGTTATGATGAAGTAGTACGGTTAAGTTGGGGTAGATGTTGAGGATTGTGCTGTGGTGTAAGGGTATCTAAGGTTTTTTGAAAGTGGGGAGATCTGTCTTTAATATGATGATGAAACTGATATCTTTGTTGTGTTAGTTGGTTGGTTAGTTGGATTTAAGTCAGGAGAGATCGATATGATAAGAATTGGTTGGGGTGATTCGGAGCCTTTGAAGAGTCACTTTAAGATTTGGATTGAGTTTGATGACTTACATTCTCAAGACTGACGGTTGAATTGGATTGGATGACTGGTCAACTGCATATAAAGACCTTCTTTTGATTCTACTTTCTTCTTTTCACTTCAAGTCTTCATATCGATAAAGAAAAAGATAAGACTAGATAATTAAATTTTTAAACCGATTGATTGATGAACTAGTAGTATCTACCAATTCATTATCTTAAATTAAAATTAAAATTGAAAATTATTATCAGAAAATCAAATTCTTCTTATCATTCTTCTTAAAAAGTTTATTCGATTGAACTCTTACTCAATTTCTCTTTATAAATTCTTTTTTGAACACTTTCTTGAAAAACAACAACAACAAAAACTTATAATTATATAAATTTATAAATCGAAAAACCAATCAACTATTTATCAACAAGTAGAACCACTCTCAAAACCTAATCAAAACCAATCCAGAATGTCAAACACAGGTAAACTAAAACGATCATCACAAAACCCAAACACACACACAAAAACTAATGATCACCGTGACTGTTTTTTCATTTCAGATCAATTATCAACTCCATCCTTATCATCATCATCATCAACGACTTCATCAAGACCTTCATCTCCAAGCTTATCAACCAACTTATCATCATCATCATCCATCTCACCCGTTCAAATCATTAATAAACCGATCATCAAAACACTCGATTTGAATTCTTACTTTTCAGATTTAGATGGTGAAGAAGATTATAATAATACAGATGAGTTGTCTAAATTTAAAGCTAGTACTAATCATTCATCAAAGTATAAATCAAAGACTTCTAATTTTATTCAATTTGATCAAGTTGAGTGTTTCTTTAAATACCGAGAAGATCAAATTCAATTCAAAATCTAAAGATGACTTTCTTTTTTGGTTTTGGTTTTTTTTAGATTGAAACTCTTAATGGAAAAACCAAAGAAAAGTTTGGAATCGAAATCGGTTTAGATAAACTAGAAGAAATCATTCCATCATCCAATTCCAATTCCAAACCATCCTCATCCTCATCCTCAGAAACCTTTTCATCCTCATCCTCATTATCATTATCATCAGGAGAAGAGGAAGAAGATGAAGAAGAAGAAGAAGATGAAGAAGACCAAGAATGGGTTCAAACCCAATGGAAAGCCTTAGTAGAAAAACAAAAGATCAGAGAAAAAGAAATCAGGAAACTGATCTTGTCTCGTCAAGTTTTAAACCCACTTGTAAGTCTTAAACCCCATTCTTACTTCCATTCGTGGTTTTGGTATACTAAGTCAAAATTGGTTTGGGTTCTTTAGGATTTGAAAGAATGGTTAGACTCAGATCAAACTTGTGATCTACCGGCTCTAAGTCTTGGGGTTTTATTAAGGATGGATCCAATGGCTTCTAGTAGTCATCAAATGACGACGATCTCGAAATACTAATTTCATTGATCATCAACATCCAAACCTGATCAAGTTTTATCTTTTGGCAAGTAAAGGAATTAGTTTTGAGTATCTTGAAAAGAATTGGTTTTTTTTTGCAAAATGGTTTGGGTGATGAATTGGTTTTTATGTTTTTTGAAAAGTATGAATGAAGTAAAATGAAGTAAAATGATTGAATGATTGAAAGATTGTGATGGAAAATAAATAAATGAATTATTAATTGATTGAAAAGCTTGTGATAGAAAATAAATGAATGATCTTCTCTTTTTTTGATTCTAGAAATTTCAAAACTCTTTTTCCTCAATTTTTTTTGTGTTGGTTAAAAGAAGAAGGTAAAAGGAAAAAATATTTTTATAGATTTGATTTAAACATATATATAAAATTACTAAAGAAAGACAAATTTAAAAGATGTGGTTATGAATTGGCTTGATCTTGATTTTGATTATTTTTAACTTCTCTTGATTTTTTTTCTTTTTCTTTTTAATTTCATAGATAGGGATTCATGAAAACCAAAGTTGTTTTTCTTTTTTTGTTTTCTATTTCATTTTTTAATGCTTCATGAAGTTTTGGACTGATTTTTTCATATGACTTGAATATAATAAACTTAATTCGCAGGCGCAGGCTGTGCCTCGCAGTCTGCGCTGCGAGTCGGGTGTTGTGATACACAACTCTACAAAAGAATGTCAAACAGACAGAATGCGCAAAACTGCGCTGTGCCAAAAAAATCGAAAATTCCAAAACCCACTGCGCAGCGCTGGGGCGCAGTGAGCTTAGATGACTTGATCAATTTTGTAAAAAGGATTTGAGTAGATTGAATGATGTTGGAATATAAAGAAATCAGTGCTGTTATGATTAAAACTTCATATTCTCACATTTAGAAATTATCACTCATTTTGTGATTGTCTATTTTACTTTTTGAATGATCTCTTTCTATTTAAAGAAGAGTACAATAATAGATCTTATGTAACCAGACAGATCTCTTGTCAAGGACTTATAGTAAGTTAATTAGAAAACTCCTTACTTCCACTTGTAGTGATCCCCTGAATTACCTGGACATTTCAAATAGGTGAATCTTTGCACATGATTATGTTTAGGTGTATATCCAAGTTTTTATGTCCCAAATTCAATGGTTTTGTTTAGAATGGATTGGTGTAGGAATAAAAATTCCACAATGTGTGATTTTTGATTGTACCCATGTGGAGCCTTGTGAAGATATTTCTTTTGGATGGATTTATGGTTGCATGGACAGTTGTTGTACTGTACAACTTCTGGATCAATTTTGAATTTCACTTAGACAGGAAACCAGAGACAATTTCCCTGTGGGAAGACTTATTACATTTAATGCATTTTGTGAGCCAAAACACAGAATTTAGAAATCATACCAAAATGATAGATTTTGGCTCATAAGCTGTGTTAAATACAATGAATTTTCCCACAGGAATATCATCTTTTGTTTCCTGCGTTATCAAGAATGACATTTCTTCTTGAATTGTTTCACTCATCATTGAAGACGTGTTTTGTTTTGTATTGCCTGCAATATTCATTCTCAAATTTCAACAATAGACTTAACTAGTGACATCCTGATACTTACCTATGACTATGTTGCACAGTTTTTCACAAGTTTGAGTTCTTTGAGATCCATATTTTAACAAGGTACAGTTAATACTCATCTTGAAGACAAGATTCACAAGGCCAATGATATGATTAGAGGATACTCAAGAATCCTTCTGCTATCTCTATAGTTGATTTCAGGTTTTTAGCAGACTGAAGATCTCTGGAGCAAAACCATATCCTACATCAATCAACATGGTATTTAGGATGTCAAGAGTTTTCTGCTTTTTGCTCTTTGCACTAAATCCCATGAACACAACAAGATTCTCTGTTGGACAGGAGATAATCCCCACACTAAAAACTTTGCTTGAAGATGATCAGGGAGATGATTTTATTGGCATATCTGGTCATGATTCCTACTCACCAACAAATCAGATGCACACTAGGTTTACAAGTGGTTTGCATCTTGTCTCTCCTTCATCTCTTTACTTCCATATTGCTATCTGATCTTGGACTATAATTTGGGACTCATATCTGAATTACTATGATTTTATTACAAAGAATATTCAAGCTTAAATGAGGTTGGGGATCTGATAAACCTTGTGAATCAACCAATACTTAACCATGGTGAGCAACATTTGGCACAAGTGAACTCTCTCCATGTAAGATGCTATCTACAATTGATATTAATCTTTCATAGGTAGAAAAGACCAGGCAGATCAATTCATAAACCATCTGCAACAATATAATTATATCTACAATCCAATTTTTGCAGAACACTCCTCCCCTACCAACAAAGAGCAAGGACTTTTGCATCCGGGTGACAAAGTTGATGAACTCATTGATGGTTTTGATCCAGATTGGTACATGTCCTTTTTTACAGGAGACAAAGTTGAGCCTTCTACACAAAACAGTCATGCCGTCCAACTTGGCAATTCAAATTCAGAGATTCCACAGGTTCATCATTCTTCTGTAACAGACATTGGAGACAACACCAACACTGGAATGAATGGTATGTTGTTATGGATTCATCTTAGTGATTGTGCATAGATTGACATGACACCATCATCTTTGATAATTTTCAAACCATCTGCCCAAATTGTCCCTGCTGGAGGTACACCTCCATTATTGCCATCAGAAAATGTTGCTTCTCCATATGAGATTATGCATACCCCTCATATATACCAGAATCAAGCAGAAATCTCAAATCAATCTCTCAACTCTCAAGTGATCCTTACATCCAGTAAGCCAAAGCCTCTCACATCAATGGAAAGGGAAGAAGGATCCCAAGAACAAAATTCAATTCCCAATCATGACATCCCCCCTGAAGATTTTACTACACAAACAGCTCAACCCAAAAAGAAGCAGAAATTAGCTTCTGAACTTGAATCTGGTGACATTGTGATTGAGGGAAGTAGAAAGATGAGAAGTGATGACAACCAGAAAAACAAAAGTTTGGTGAAAAAAGTCAAAGTTAAGAACAGTACAGCTTGGCTCATGAGTCTCAGGAAAGAGGGGGCAGATCAGATCCGGTCCATAAGATCTCTTTGGTTGGAAGTCAGTTCATTCTTTTCACCTTGGAATCAGGAGCTTGAAGATCCACAACAACAAGATGTATCTTATCAAAAAAGAACCGCTAGCAGGATGAGGAGTTGGATTACACATGCATTTCTGGGTCTACTCAAAGCCCTACATGATCAAAGGAGTGATCTTGTTTTGATACCAATTTCTGGGATTCAAGATCAGAAAGAGGATGGAATGATTCTTCTGGATGATCTGTTGTTGGATGGTTGGAAGTTTCTTAAAGGTATATTCCAGGAAATCAAAGACAAGTTGAATGATAATGAAGAGTATTGTATCATAACTTTCAAACCTAGAGTCAAAATCTTTGATCTGTCTTCTCCAGATGATCTTCTTTATTACTTGGCCAATAAGGGGAAAAATACATCATTGAACCTTGATAAGCAGGCACTTTCAAACCTTCTTTCAACATGGAATTCTTCCAAGTCTATTGGTATAAGATCAAAGCTTGATACTGAAAATGCATTGGATAAGATTATTTTTGAATTCAAAGAAAAACCAGAAAACTCTCAAAAAACACTCACAACAGATGACATGAAAGATGCTCTTTCGTTCATACGTCACAGTGGAAAGTATTGGATTAATGAACACATGAGAGTGAGTGTTGACAGATTCTTCATGAATCTCAAAAAAACAATTTTATCAAACTTAACAAATCACCAATCTCAAATCACACAAGAGACCCAAAAATACTTGAGTTCTGCAATATATAGAGCAAAAAACTGGCTTTTATCTGACTTTTTTGGATGCCTTTTGATGTTCCAAAGAGACCAAAATCAAGTTCCTGAAGTTCAAGAAGCTGAAATGACCAGAGCTTGGAAATTTATGCAGGATATCTTCAAAACATGGTTGAAAGTTGATCCTACAACAATTGATGTGAATATCTATGGCAAATTAGGATATGGTACACTTTATGTTGATCTACTATTCTTTGATTCTGAGGAAATCTTCAAACACTACTTCAGCCTACCTCCACATTCCAAATATATATCATCTGTTCATCTTTGGAGGATTCTTGCTCAATGGTATAAGTTAGACCTCCATAAACTTTCAGCAGAACAGATGGATCATGTGGTGTACACATATAAGAGAAATCTTTTGAAGGTATGTGGGAAACATCTTGAGGGATTTCCTGATAATCCAAAAATTTCTTCCTGAAAAGATGGGATGAAGTACTTTAGCTATCAAGTTCAGATGTATAATTCAGTATATTCTTGATTCTTTTGGCAAACAAAATATAGCTGTTTTTATCCTAATTCAAACTCGGATGAATTTCAATTTAAAACATCTGTAAGAAGAATGACATCCAGGGTGTATCCCATATGTCTGCAAAATTTTTGTTTTACATTGCAGCTTAAGAAATGTTGACTTTGTAGAGAAATTTCACATCTGTATTTTCTTTCCTCATTTCACTCTCAGTTGATATGTGTTGAATTTTTGTGAAAGTTGGTTAATTACTAAACCAATATACATCAATTCAAGTATCACTGTTGAAAGCTGCTATGTTACCTGAAACACATTACATGCCATAATTATGGAGGGCAAGAGTTGCAAGCAAGGGCCACCTAAAATTACGCAATATGCACTTTGCACTTAGTTTGTGATGCTTGGAGGCAAAGAATCTGTGCAACATTGAGAAAACCTGCCTCGTACAAGTCTATCTACCTGCTTTTCCATTTCAAATCTTTGACTCTTCTCAACTTGATAGCTCAATTGTTCAGCATAACTCACTCTTTCAAACAAACAGAGAGGCCAAATATTCTCCACCTCACACTGACTCTGTGGTCAAACCTACCCTTGGCTGCCATGGGTTGTACAGTTGCACCAGTCTAGTCACGACCAGAGCCCGGCCCCGGGACCCAAATGTTGGGGGGTCCCAGTAATACCCCAAAATTTTTTTGCAGGGGTTTTTTTGGCAAAAGTTCTTTTTCTTCACTCTATCACTGCATACTTCACCCTTGTATTGTACACCCACTTCGGTAACAAAACCCGAAAAAAGTTACATATATGATTTTTACATCACGGTGAGAAATATTCTCACCGTGTATGTATATGTAAAGCTGTGATCCTTGAAAACCTTTGGTAACCAAATCAAAGTGAAGATGATGATCATTCAACGACAAAATGATCATTTGTCGTTCAGTAAACAAGGTCACCGAGCTCATCGACTTGATGAGCTCACTCTTTCTTTTTGTAATGAACCCTTCCCGCCGCTTGTAGATGTAATAAAATAAAATAACCTCATTCAAAAATGGATCATACTCGAGCTCTTCAGCGCCGGAGACATCGACGTCGCCAAATCATATTCTTCAATCACTTAATCCTGATAGAATCCGCTAGATTCTACTACAACACAATCTTGAAGCCAAAAATAATACAAAATCCAAGGATCAGATCAATCCTTTCTGGCCAGATGTGGATTGATGAGTTACTGACCAGGCACAAAAAGGTTTTCTATGAAAATATGGGAATGAAAAAGGAGGTTTTTGTGGGATTGAGAGAAAGGCTCGAGGAATCTGGATCACTTTCTGATTCCAGATACATTACTAGCACAGAGCAATTAGCTCTTTTACTTCACTTTCTCATCACCGGGCTATTGAATACGAAGCTTAACCAACGCTTTCAAAGATCTGCTGACACGGTTTCAAAGTGAATCCATTGAACCTTTTATATTATTTATTTCAAAGACTGATGATTGTGTCTTTACAGGATCATCAACAACTTAACTCGGGATATCACCAAAAATACCCAATTGATCCATTATTACATCATCCTCCCTCAACAGGATACTCCGATGTCAGCATCCATCCGTAATAACCCCGATTGGTACCCCTATTTCAAGAACTGTGTGGGGGCAGTTGATGGAACGCATATGCCAGTTCATGTATCGCCACTAGACGCCAAGCCTTATTTCAATAGAAAAGGCAATATAACTCAAAATGTACTGACGGCTTGTAATTTCAGCTTATGTTTTACATATATTCTAGCTGGCTGGGAAGGTAATGTGGCAGATAGTAAACTGTGGGATGATGCACGCGAAAGCAATCTTACCATCCTGGCTGGTAAGTATGTTTTGGGCGATGTTGGCTTTGCATTGAGTCTGACTTGTCAAACCCCTTTTCGAGGGGTGCAATATCATCTTTGTGAATTTTCCGGCGATAACTCTGAGTACGCCACCAAACCTCTTTTATTGAATAGCGCAAACTGATGTTTTTGTACTCTACAGACCTCGAACTTATCAGGAACTGTATAACAAACGACATGCAGCTTTAAGGAACTATATCAAAAGAATATTTGGCGTAACAAAGCAAAGATTTAAAGTGATGGGAGAAGGTTCACACAATCCCATACTGATTCAAGCAAGATTAATACTACTAATGGCTTTTATACATAATTTCATCAGAACAGTCAATAGTAATGATGAGCAATTTAATGGGGAATTTGATGGAACCTATCAACCTCGAGTCAATCAAGAGGAGTTACACGCTGTTGGAAACACTCCTGAAGAGTCAACTGAAGCAGGAAAGTTGAGAACGAGAATTGCTAAAGCAATGTGGAGAACTTATCGCCAACAACAAACTGCTCGTGGAATGTGAATTAAAAGCCTTATCTTATTTTTCAATTTTTGCTTATAAGCTTAGCAAGTTATTAATCATTTATTATCATTTATTACAATGTTGCATCATACTTAATCCACTCATGTTTTAGGTGTTTTAAAAACTTGATAAAGATGAGATATTTTCATGTTTTAGCATTTATAGGGACTTGATCAAGATTTGATTACAACTTGAGCGATCAGAAGCCTTTGTTATTACAGAACAATTAAGAACCTCATAAGACTTATGAAATTACAAAAATATTTAAAGGAACTTTTAATATTTGAATATTTATTTTAAGATACATGCGACTTGACTTTGACCAAAGGAACATAAACTTGTGTATTGAAAAAATGATTCAAAAATTCATTCAACTGAATACATTTGATTTTAATTACCTGCCAACTTCCCTCTGATCCAATCCAGTTGTAGATATTTTTCTTCAAGACCCACAAACATTTTAGCATAATCGACATCTTTCTTTAATAATTCCATTGATTTATAGAGTTCATCTTGACTTAAACCGAGCTTGCGTAATCCCCGAGTAGCAGTGGTGAGAAAGTCGTAAGGTTGAGTCGAACTTCCAGAAGCTAAAGCACTATTATTGTTGGCCATGTGACTAATAAATTTGTCTGAAATTGAGCCAATTCCATCTATAAAGTCTTCACCAGCTTGAGCCGCAGTCTTGTGTTGTCGTTTTTGAAAAGGTTTATGAACTTTCACTTTTGAATCCATTTCTGGTGATTGATCATGTTTGAATCTCTTGTTCTTCATAAATTTATTCTTGGGAAGATCTTGAGAAGAACCTAAACGCTTGTTAGTTCCTGACTGGGATGATAAAGTCACAACATTAGGAATCAGACAACAAAGAAGGTATGAAGGTATGAATGAGCTGGGCATACTGGTACTTTGGCCATCTCGTTCCAGATGTCGGAACTGAGCTCAACCATATTGGTTTTGGGGTTCCATCCGGCACCGCTTTTCTTCAACAGATCACTCGCATCTTTGTACCGTTTGTTAAGCTTAATTTGAAACAAACATACAATTAGCATACAATAGAAAGAAAGAGACAAAAGCATAAGACTTACCACATTATAATGACCATGTACCATCTCACCAGTCTTTTCTTTAGTCGCCCCTTCAGTACCCTTCAATTCAGTTGCAATCAATGACCAAGTTGCTTTTGAAAAGCCTTTGTTACTTTTATTATTCCTATGAGTTTTTATAAGATGTTCGATCATTTTCGATTCTTGGTCACTGGTCCATTCACACTTGGATGAGGGTGTTGAAACGATCTGAATGTCTTCAACTGATTGTGACATGTTGGTGGACGCCGGCATCTCGATGTTGAAAAGGTAAAGGTAATGAATTGATTGAATAACTAATGAAATAACAATTGAATGAATTTTTTTAAGTTGAAAGTCGCTTGAAGAATGGCTTGAACTTGACTTCGAGTTTTGATGAAATGGGATGAGAGTGACTGGATTGATCAAATCAGCTTAAGGTAATCTTGAGTGAGCAAGCTTGAGGTAATGAAGAGTTGAAGTTTGTGATGAGAAAGAAAAAAAACAAAAAACAAAAAATTATTTGGTTTTTTTCGGTGAAGTACGAAAAAAGACAAAGTGATACTTGGAGATGAAAGAGAATTGATAGATATCAGCTGAAGATTCTTAAAAAAAACGACTTTTTGTCGTTTTGGAGAATATGTACAAATTTTACATATAAATGTCAAAATATGTATATTTGTTTCGTTGCAGTTAAGGTTACCAAATTGGTTTTCCGGGTCATATATACAACCAAAATTCGGTATGTTTTTTGGTGGCACATATTCGGTCGCATATGTTACATATGCGTTACCGAAGTGGGTGGTAAATATACAAGTCTATGCTGTTCTGTACCCCAGGAGTTGTGATGAGAGGTGCTCCACCTACTTACTTAAGGTACATAAGTAACAGCTTAAGTGGCTACCTAAGGATTTAAATACTTAAGTAAGGTACTTAAGGACTTAATATTAGGTCCATTAGGTACCTAGACCCAAATGCCAGAGGTTTGTAAAAATAAAAAAAATTGGCCAAGCAGATTGACTCACCAAGTCATTTCTGACACAAACACCCCCCTTAGAGCCCAAAAATGACTTTTTACACATGATTTGTAAGTAAGAGTTCAGTGTGTAAACTTGTGCAATCAAATTTTGATTTTGCAGAGCGAGTCTGGTCGTGACTAGACTGGAGCAACTGTACTCAAACACCCATCTCTTGGTGGATTTCAATAAGTTGAACTTGATGTTTCAACACCTTCATATGCTCATCAAAGTAGGTGGGTTCTTCAAAAGATGATATGATTAGTATGTGATGGCTGTTTTCAAAGTTTGTCTAATTGGTCATTCTCAACAGATAAAAGCCAAGCAGACTGGACAAGGTAATGAAAAGGCAAAGAAGTATGATATGACAGTGACACAACAAATGAATGACAATTGGTAAGATGTACAAAAAAACATCACTGTGTATCACATATATACAAAATACTTAATGATAGATTTTTTGACCAGTAGAACAATGCGTACAACAAGTGATGAGTTCAAAGAAAATCAAAGACATTGGATTGTTTGAAACTTCATCAATAATACAGGTTTGCTACTTCCAGATTCAGGAAGTTAAGCTGTTGACCAACCAGGCTCATGATGCAACTTTGGATAATCAGTGGCACAACCATGAAGGCTTGACTTATAAGTGATGACTTCAAATTTTCTTTGTACTGATCCATGGAAATCAGCAAGCACAAAGCTAAATAATCAACTTTTATTTTTTTCTCAGACTTCTTTTTCTCAGGCTTCTTTTAACATACATACCCACTTATTGGAAATCAAAAACACATTATCAAATCAAAAGTTTGATTCAACCAAAAAAAAGTACCAAAGTTTTATATACACTTTTAAATTTGAACTTTCAGCCCTTTGATACATTTTGTCAAAAACATCAATCAATAGGGATTTTCTTCTTATGAGAGGTTGAGATTTCTGATAATATTTTCAACTAACATTCTGATATAGGTACAGTTGTTTTTCTAGGAATTTTTCTCACTTGAACCCTCCCCCCATGGGCTATTGCAGTGTGTCTGATATAATCATAAGCACACACAAATTCCCTTTATGTGTGCTCATCAACAACAACCACAGAGTCAGAGTGATGGTTTAAAGGAAGTGAAAAAAATCTTTCAAGAAGATGTAGAACCACTTGAACCTGAATGAATGTAAATTACATCCAAATTCTACATACACACATTGGCTTGACTTCAGGACCGTTACAAACTATCTTCAATCTCCATAATTTCTTTCAGTGTCTCACAAACCCAAACTACAATGGCTCACCTATGATCCAAACTCAGACCAATTCCAGAACAAAAAAAAATCCGTCAATTGAATTTGAAACGGGGGGGCCATTTTTACACCTTCGTATTTACACCGGATCGGCTGGTGCAAAAAATGCACGGTGCAAAGTTCAAAGATGGTTGTAGTTTTTTCGAATTTTGCACATTTTTGGCCGTTTTTCACCCCGGTGTAAAGTCGGCCGGTGTAAAATATACCTGACAATATTCTTTAATTTTGCACTGCATCTCTTGCACCGGAAAAACCCGTGTAAAAAAACAGTGCAAAAATGCAAATAAATGGCAAAACTTATAGTTTTGCACCAAATCATTTACACTGAGGGATCAAGTGTAAAAAACATCCAGTGCCAAATTCCAAATATGGACCCCGGGATGCAATTTTACACCGACCGAAAAAATATTTACACATTATTTTTATTTTTATTTTTTGTTAAAAAACAAACAAAAACAAACATAGAGGTAAAGACTGACAAGCAAAGATAAGAACAAATAATCAGAGAAAATGAGAACAAAAAGAGAGAGCTAGAAAAGAGAAGGGGAAAACAAAACATTTTGGTAAAGACAGACTAGCAAAGATCATAGAACAAAGATAAGAAAAACAAGAGGGAAGCTACAAAAAAACAAACTTGTTCAGTTAAAGATAGACTAGAAAGAGGAAGAGACAACAGGAAAAAAAAGATGAACAAAGCTATAGAAGCCCAAAAAATCAAACCTTGGTCTTTGGCTTTTTAGCAATGCGCTTGGCAGCAGCAGGTTTGGCTGCGCTCTTGCGCTTACCTGCAGCTACAGGTACTGGTGGAGACGTCTCTGTCTTGACAGTGGTCGGTTTTGCTTGAGGCACCTTGATCTTAATCTTAATACCACCGGTTGAAACGTTGTTGGAAACCTGCGCCACATCAACTTTGCCTTCAGACCCGGATTTAATTGATACATCTTCTCCAACAACGTCTTCAATGGCATTTGCGTCATGGGTGTCTCGGGGGAGGTCTCCTCCAAATGGCATGGTCTTGGTCGGCATGCTGAAAGCACCTACAAATAATGTTGCACTCTCTAACTCTAGTTCGCACGTTAGGTTACAACCACAAAACATCTTGAATATCTTGAAGAATTTCAGTTTACTTGCTGTTCTTAGATCCTTTCAAGTTGAGCTATTTGTGATCTTATTGCAAGCTGTAAATTCAATCAATTTAGTTGAAGATGTAGTCTACTTTGATGCTTTGAATATCTTACAATCTTATCAAGTCCATTCGACTTGATATGTTCTATTTAGAACACAGACAAATGATCAGGTTGTCAATATGTTTGAGAAATTTGATCGTAGAATCAATTTTTGATGTTGGATTGCTTACAAAATTTGTGATTGAACAAAGGGTACTTTTAATGTACAGTTCATTGAGACTCGAGTTTCTCAATTTTATCCCCTCACGATGATATTAATTGATAACTTCAGCTTGTGAATTGTAGGACAGCCGATTTCAGAGCATTCAATCGGTTTTGTCCCCGTTTTTGCCGGTTTGAAAGAGGAGAGCAGTGGACTTACTCACTTGAACAACAGAAGAAGTGATGGTTGAAAACCCGATTGAAGGAAAGACAGATATACACTCCACCGATCTAGTCATAATTATTGCAATACGTCGGCATCATCTTAACCCGGAAGGTAGAATGTGAGATTTAATTCCAGCTATCACCTCACCATTGTTGATTGTGACAGATCACTTACGAAGAGATGCTTCTGAAAATGAAGTGAGTTGAGGATAATGTTCAAATGAGCCTGTGGGCAGATACATGTCATCGCAGAGTCTTCGGATAAGTCTTTTCCATGGCGGAGCTTGTCTTGTGTTTTTCTTTATACTGTAGAGGGACTTACTAGGAGAAATCAAAAGAGTTGTCGAACTGATTATGTAATTCAATCAATGGCACCATAGCTTTCTTCGGAGTCATTCAATCCATCTTATTAGGGCGAGATTTGGACTGCATCAGCTTGCACTTTAGTGAAGAGGCATGATGTTGCCTATAAGGTTGGGATCAGCCTTTAATCTTAGCGCGAGTTTGTTGAAGCTGCTTCCACTTAACAGAAAAGGACAATTAACAAAACTTTAGGAATTTCCTCAAAGGTTGTTGTATACTAAGAGCCGCAATGAATGATCGGCATAGTGTCCAAACATACAGAGAAAAGCAGGTTTGTTAGCATACAGTACCATCACGGAGCGAAGTTGGGGCTACTGAAAACGAGAAATAAAACATCACAATACATTTCAAATACAATCATCCTAAGTATCTGATAAAATTTCATGTAAATGTCACGTGTGGATCAGCTTCGAAGCTGTATGTATAGGATATAAATATCTTACCTTTTGCTGATCGCCACTCCTCTTCATCCTGACTCTCTACCACCACCACACCAACCAACACATCAACCACCACACCAACATACCATTTCATAAAAACCTTTACTATTTCCTGAATTCTTCCCACTTCTCTTCCATTTCTCTTTCATCATGAATCTCCCCAAGTTAACTTTTAAGAAGATCTTTGGTCCTCGTTTTCAAAAAACCCTCTTTGTTTACTTCCCGTTGAACTTCTTCTTTGTTATCTTTTTGATTTGTGGCACTCACAAGATCTCTCGTTTCAAAGTTCCAGAGTCGTTCATCCTTAAACTCATCGCTAAAAAGTTGTACATCATTCTTCCTTGGGCTTATTTCTATTCTCATATTCTTTACTCTCGCCACGACACTCTTCCAAAGAAGCGTTCGACTATTCCTGAGAAAGATATCGAACTCGGTCCAGTAGCTCCTCTTCCAAAACCTCTCGATGCTCCCATCCCCCTTCCAGCCGAATTTGTTGAAATTGATCTAGGTATGTTGTCTTTCCTACAGTTCTTCCTTCTCATGATTTTATAAACCAGTCTAACAAACTCTTCCTGAATTGACAATTGCTTCTAGGTGAAGGTCCCTCAAACTGCGGTCTTCCCGGTCCTCCTCGACCTTTTTTAACGTGTGAAGTTTGAAGAGCTCAACTTGATTTCATCTTGGTATGTTATCTCTGCCTTCATTTGTCATCTATTCATCTTTTCTGAGCGCGAATCCATTATGTATCTTGATTTATCTAATCATTTTGACTCTTCCCAATTCTCTTGTGACTTGGCAGGCGACATGTTCCTCAATCGATCTCCTTATCTCAAAGTCTTTTTTGTGACCATTCCATTCTCTCGTTTGAAATGTGTTCTTCTTGTTATTGTTTTGCGATGATGAGTAGGAGTTTACTTTTTGAATATTCGTATCGAGTCATTGCCGATATTTGAATCAATTAGTACTTTGAATACCCTCACTCTGAGCTCCTTTACTTCTATTCTTCAATCAAATTTGTAATCAAAAGATCTATCAACATCTCTTTTCAAATGTTTCGAAGTGGCCGAATGAATAGGGATTCAAAGATACCAAAGTAGCAGCTTGCTTCCCTTCCTTAGACCACCAAAACTTTTGATCTTCCTCCGCCTTTCCCAAAGACCTTGCCATTTTCTCTTTGACCAAATTAACTAAAGCTTTTTCTAATTTGATATACTTTGAACTAGTGTTAAAGAGATGTAAAAGAGAGTCAAATTTGGTCTTGAATTCCAGAGAATCAATCAAGTGGACCAATGTTCTAAAACATAAAAACCTAAGTTCAGCTGAAAAGATTGTAACTGAACATGTTGCTAAACAATCTATGAGTTTAAAGTTTTGACTATCTAGAGGAACAGAAGATGAGAGGATTATAAATATCCCAGCTTGAATCATATTGGTATCAGAGTCCTCGAGTGCTTCTATTAAAACTTCTTCATCAATGTGAATTGAAGAATCAATTGATCCAGTCTCTTCCCATTGATTCAATTGGTTCATCGCATAGGTCAAAAACCGACTCGATCTGAGTATCTTCTTTAATTCTTCTTCATCACCAAAACAATCAATCAAAAGCTCTTTTGTAGCTTCTATTTCCTTCTTGAGTTCACCTGACTCAAAACCTTGATCAAAACCAAAGTTCAAAACAAATTCTCCTAATAAATTACAAATCATCTTAGACTCTTGTTCATCTATGATTTCAATCTTTTGCATTTTTTCATTATCTAAATTTATAATTCTTTCTAAACTACTATTCCAACGTGAATACTTTTTCATAAAACATATTCTACCTGATGAAATTATCTTTTTATCGCATATAACTGAATGAATAGAATAGAGTATAAAAGTTATAATGTGTAATTTGAGTGATGGATTTGAGTCGTAGATTAATAAAGATTGATCGAGTAATAATTTCAAGTGTTGATAAGGTGATGAACAAGTTGGAAAGTTCTTGGATAGTTCGATTGTAGTTTTCGAATACGTTTGAAAAAAAGATATCAGCTTTTTAGAGGTTTTGAGGATCCGAATAAGGACTATCGATTCGAACAACAAGAAAACATCAATATGTGCGTTGGATTGAAATGACAGTAAGAAAACTTATAAACTGACCAATCGAAAGGATTTCAACCATAACCAGTATAAATCCAGAACCGATCAAAGGTTGTGAGAATCTTTGAATACTATCATCATCTTCTTCTGAAAATGTATCCTGACGACAAATAGTAGAGATCGTTCCAGTCATACTCAAAAAGACTTCACGTGAATTTCCAAATCTTGAGAAAGTTTTCAATAATTCCATGATAGGATCAGAATTCAATTCGTTTACACCATCTTCTGTAGGGTTTGGTGTATCACTACTATAAACTGAATGAATCAGTTTATTAGGTAGATCGAGTGAAAGTTGGTCCTAGAAATCAAGAATTGGAGGTTTTCAGAGAGCGGTCAATAACGTGTTAGAGAACAAAGCATTGAGTGATGATAGATAAACTCACGAAGAAATTCACGATAGATGTTTCCCCTGATCGATGTTCGAGTTCTTGTATTAATGATTAAAGTAGTTTAGGATTTGATATCAATAAGTCTTCCAATTGGTTGAATAGGCCCAGTGGTTCTTGCAATATTTTCGAAATGTCCTTCTGTACTTCTATTCTAGTGTTCGAACAGGTTGATGGTGTTGGCTCGGTTTCGGATGTTGATTGTGATGGTACTCTTGATGATCCCATAATCCTGGATCAAAACCTCAAACAGCGAGTTTAGCGGAATCTTTCGGGCAAACCTAGATTGACCCCTTCCAAGGGAATCGAATGATCAAGAGGGGTCCAGTGGATCCATCATCCAACCACCTACAGAAACTACTATCCAAAACTTGAGCATGCGCTAAATGGCACGGAAGCTAATGTATTCGAAGATTTTGAAACCACCAACCAGCATTGTTGGAAGAAACCGCCTAGGTTGCAAGCGATGGAAGAAGCCAGTTTGCTTTTCAAGGTACACTCGCAGTCCATCTTGAAGCAGACTACATAATGAGAGTGACATATCTCCAAACTGTGATGTCACTCGTATTGCCCAAGAATCTTCTTCTTGACAGGAGCTAGATGCCTCTAGTCTTGTATTCTGGTTGTATGATCTTAAAATTTTGTCAATAAATCGAGACTTTGACCATGATTGATTTGCAGTCCACGGATTTCAAACCCTTGGCTATCAAACATTTCGTCGGCAGCTCCTTTGGTACAACGTTTTTAGAAATGCGGTTGAACAAAGTAAGTCTCCAATCTTTTTTTGTTCTGGCGTCATAAAGGTTTTTGAACAAACGTTAGATGAAGCTTCCGCCAATCTAAAATCTGCTTTGATGCCTCAAAGACGTCTTGCGGGTCATTTTTCGATCTTTAGACACACGAAATGACGATCTAAACTCTAGAGAGTCCTTCTCACATCACTCAGAAATTGGGGATTAGATATCCTTCGGATTGCTCTAGATCATTCTGATATCGAGTGGCGAGATGCCCTGGATTTTTGATATTAGATGAATGCAGTCTGTACAAATATTTTTTATGTCTGAGCTACTTCCGAAGGGTGCAATGGTAGAAAGACATCTTTTTAGTGGTATCTCCATAAAGGGATTGAGCGTGCAAGTCATGCTCGAGAGAGGGACTATTCTCCGTACGAAATTCGATCTCGAAGCCATGATGTGATCAACAGTTTTTTAGTTGATCAAGCCAATCTTGGGATGTCATTGCTTTGCAGATTGCATCCAAGAAGAGTGCGTGTGCTCGCTCCTTCCAATCAAAGCTTGAAGCATTAGTTCTATCCTTCGGTAGTGTGACTAAACACATTATTCAACATGTATGCAACTAGAGCGCGTAATATACATTTCAGGAGAAAAGCGTATGTAGAAGAGTTAAGTCGCCTGACAATCGGTCTCTGGGAAGCACAAAACCCGTTTTTACCCTTAGGGCAGCGGGTGTGTTGCTCCAGCTATAGTCAGGTCGAACGCAAGCCAGATCGCTTTGGTAGTGAGACGTCAAGCTTTGGATGCGGATAATCGTTGGCTTTCTGGAAATTCAAAAGCGATTGGAAGTGCAATACGAAACATCCGTTGGACTCTGAGCCCTTGGCGCCACGAGATGGCACATCAACATTTGGTTACAGACGTTTTGCTTCGAATATGGTGAGATGGATATGTAGGTAGCATGAAAAGTGTGAGCTGATGAGAATTGTGCGATCACTACAAATGGGACAAATCGTTCTTCAAGCCGACCAAAGACTTGAATGTCAGTGTGGCTAATATTTGAGGGTATCGGGAGTTTATGCCTTTTTTGACCCAAAATTTACACCTCTTCCTGTATCCCAATTCCCAAGTTCCAACTAACAGTTGAATCATACTTCACATCATGAAAAATCTTTGAGTTCGGATTCTCTTTGATTCTTTGTGCTAGTTTGAAGACAAATCCTGGTGTAAAAGATAGCACACAATGACCTCAGGGACTCACCTTTCTACCAGACATGGATAATTGGAGATTTGCTGTTGTATTGCAAAGAAATCAAGAAGCACAACTAATTGTCATTGAGTATCATGATGACCCAAAAAACATTCCTTCTGATATGGTTGAACTTGGAAAACTTTTACTGAAAAACCTGGAGTACGAGAAGGTGTCTTCCAAAAAGGCAGAGTACCAATTTTTCACAAAAGCAATACCACTCATGGAAACATTGTAGCAAAACACTCATCTAAAAAGATTAGGCGCTGGGTGACGTTTTGATGGACAAAGGATTTCGCCACCTCAATAAGTGCATGAATAGTATGGAAGATTTCCGAAATTATTTCAACGGGAGGTATCACACAGATTTCGCATATCCAAGTGTGCCGTCGTCTTGGACTGATCCGGCAACCGACCGGCCCCCGTTGACAAACGGTGAGACTGAGCCGACCACTTGCTCATCCTCCACAATTTTCCATCACCGCACCACCAGAGGCACAAATGGCAAAGGGATAAACATCCGTGTTGGACTTCCTTATGGAATCCACACAGGAAGGGCACGGGGCCACAGTTCCATCTGTGAAAGTTGTATCTGGCTATCCCAAAGCGGTACGCCAGAGGCTTTTGGTTGGTGAGGCAACCCAAAATTGAACAACGAGTTCAACATATGGTTGGAGCTGGCTATGTGCCACCCTATTTTTTTTAGTGTCATAAACTTGACTTAAAAAAATTGGGAAATTTGATACTGATTGAATGGGGGCTGAATTGCTTACGAGTTACTTAAACTGCGCTTGAATGATTACTTTGCAGAGCCTTGCCCAGTCCCTATTATCAATGGAATGGTTCTCGTCTCGGGGCAGCAAGATGCAAGTGTGGCTACCAAAACGGGCCTGTGCCCGGAATGTATTTCCCCCGTAAGTTGATGAATATTTAAAAAGACAATGTTGGATGAATAGAAAGAAACGATGTGGAATGAATTCGGACAGATGGTAAACAGAAATGACATCATATCTGTTCAAAAGATATAGCAAAGAACCGACCCGTTAGCAAACATCACGGGTATGTTACAGTCCACAAAGAATTATAGTGGGTAGTGTCTAAAAGCGTGAAATCGGGTATTTGGAGCAAAAAGTTTATCAGTGCCACAAATTTGATCCAAATTGGAATCCGAGCACAGATTTGGAGTCCTTGCATCGGCCGCTATCAGAAATTGTTATCTCTGAGTTGTTTCAAGGGCTTTAAATTTTTCATCTTTTTTACAACAAAGTAGATTTTCATCATAGAATGTAATTTGCAATACAGAAAATTAAACAATACAATTCCTAGTGCTTTGCGACCTTCTCCATCAGTGAGGACATGAATTACAGCAAGAAGTCAATATTTGAAAAAGTTATAAGGAAAAACAAACAAAATGTCATCGATTGAAGTCAGCATTGGTCACAGAGCCATGAGCAGCGGTTCGGAAAGAGTCGTATGGGTGCATTGTGACCTGGTGTATCAGTGAGAGCAGAAATCAATAAGACAAAACAATCTTCGATGAAAATGTGAGAAAAAAGGGCGAAAACATACATCGAGGCCAGCATCAGTTGCATAGTTGCCAGAAATGGTTTGATGAGATGTATATGTCTTAGTGACAGCATTAGAACCACATTTGACTTTCATGGCCTGCCTACAAGCTATCAAATGCATCAAACAATTGATAAATCAAGAAAAATTCATGAATGAGATCAAGCAAAAGGTCGACTTACAAGAGATTGAACATTATCTTGTTGGTCTTGGGATGAAGATGAAACTCTCGGATGGTTACGAGAGGACCGGTTTGCCTATTTGTTTCAACCAAATCCTTCTCTTCCTGGAGATTGGAACGCTCGTACGGTGTTCGAGATAGCCTAAAACAAAATTGTTGTATGTATTGATCCTGTCAGTATTGGATATATAAGACAACAAAGCGATCAAGATAAATAACTTACATGTGACACCAAAGAAAGTCAATTGGAACCAATTGGCTCGAGTTCGCAATAGGATTTGAAGGTCGGAAAGGAACTGATCCACTTGAAGGATGTGATCTCAATCCTACATGTACGGGGAAATTTGAACATATGTAATTTTTTCCCCGGTCCGACATTTCACGCTTTTAGACACTACCCACTATACACTCCCATCGGTTAATTACAAGTCACCAACATCTAGAAATGTAATTCATAAACTTACAATACTCAGTAATAGAAATTACTAAAACAAGTGAGTGGTTGTGGGCGAATCCCTAGGCTAGAACAGCCCAGGGTTATAAAATTTCTTTTTAGCAGACAAAACACCCTCTCCGACCCGCCTACAGACGTACCAATGAGTGATGAAGTAGGAGAGGTTCAGAAAAATAAACAGAATAATCAGTTTTGTTGAAAAACATAAATCGGCCATAAAACCGGCATAAAGAAGCCAAAATGAGAATCAAGAAGGTGCAAAGACCATTAACCAATGATATCACAAAAGACAAAGGCATAAAAGCCATTGACCGGTCTTTTTTAAAAAAGCAATCTAAACGAGACTCACTTCTTTTATAAAAAAGACACATTAGAACCAATATGTGCCACATTGCCAATTACATGATTTTGATTCTCAGGTAATCTTAAAGCAACATGTCCACGAACATAAATTAAAAAAGCATTGGATGACCAGCGACCTGCGCTCTTGATGTAATCCATTGTGTGCCCCGATTGAGCCAATGCCGTAGCACCACCGGATTGCAACAAATGGCCCAAAAAAGATTTGTCGAAATGTAACCGAAAACAAGACATGAACACCTGTGTCACCAAAATGCTTCGGACTGTATCCAAAAAAAAAGAGGAAACCTGCCGGATCCAGTCCGAAAATGCGTACTCAGACCCTTCCAGACCCTTTAGACACATCTGAAGTGGCCTTTGAAAAAAAATCAAAGGTCACAATTCTCTCTGCCTAATGCTCCAGATGGATCTGGGCCAATAGTGGGCCGTGTAAGTCATGTAGCCACATTACATCTGGCCCCAGATCCATCTGAGTGTGCTTTACCTGACGAGTTCTGTACACTGGGACCCCAGATGCATCTGAGTGTGATTCATCAAATGTTCTGTGCACTGTGATTCCAGATGCATCCGGACACACTGATCTGGGTCATTGGTCAGATGCTTCTGCTGTTTGTCCAATGTAACCAATTGTCAGACTACCAGATGCATCTGGATGTTCTGGATCTCAGATGCATCTGCTTACAAGCACTAATTTCAAATGCATCTGGCCGGATGACCCACTGGCAGATGATGATGTAAGCCATGTCAGATTCAACTCAATATCTGTGAAGCGCTTTCCAGATGTGTGAGGATACCAGATACATCTGACCAGATGTATCCAGTCACAGATGCATCCACTCCCCAGATATATCTGTAACAGGTCAACACGCCTTTTGGATGAGTCTGAAGGCCAGATACATCTGCTCAACTCACTATCAAAAACACACCAAAAACATTAATTACGTCATAACACATCTCCATCTATCATTACATCATCAAGAAGTATTGCCAATTCATTGTAGAAGATCTCATCATCATTTTCAGGAGCCACTTCCAGGTTATCAGCTGCCCGTCCGCAAGGGACTAGAATATCCCATGTAGCAAGAGCGCCACGGACCAGTCTCATCCAACCTTGAGACAATTCTTCATACACCTCAACCGGGACATCAGTATATGTGCATGTTTGATGCAATGAATCTACCATACTGTCAGGACCCCAATTGATCCATAGACAACAGTGATTGTGCAATAGTGATGAGTGCAGTGAAGCCAAAACTTCCGCGCACTCGTCCCAAATTTGCTTTGAAACCTGAGGCTTCCCAAATACCCACTCAATTGGCTTGCGGTGATCAAAATCATCACTTCGCCAAGCTATGGTATCACCAAAGGTTGATGTCAGATGAGTTTTATTTCACATGAAAAAGAAATGTACATACCTGCGTCACATACAGTCATTAATGACTCCAGTTTGACTGACATTTCCAATGACCAATCCACCACTTGGAGTACTTCAAGGCCAATACGCCGTAGTTCTTCAGTACAGCCTCGTATCTTCAAAAAGGCATCAATGCCTGCTTGCGTAGCCGGATTTACAGCCCAGTCTTCTTCTGGATGGGTCAAGTTGCCAAAGTTCCAGAATGCGTCCTCAATATCCAACTTTTGTACACGCTCTAGGTTTGGGCAAATTATTGGATCATCCGGATCGTAGGTGTCGTTATACTTGATAACAAGATCATGATATGTATTCCACTTCTTTTTCAATAATTTTATCTTCGCTCTCATCTGCTGTTTGAAAGATTGTTGGACCTTTGTGCCTAACATGTTTAGCAATAAGCTACTTCCTTGTTGGAGAAGTATCAGAAGCCAGGTAATTCACATACACTGCCTGCATTGAAGAGGTTCCCAGATGGGAAGATGGCTCGTAGGAATCAGACAGCCTTTGTGACTACATATATTACCATCGCGGTCCCACCCTCACGACTCACACTCCCATCTGGGAACCTCTTTAATGCTGGGAGTGATACCTAGGCCTGGTTTATCCCAACGGTTTTGTAAATCTATTATCCCAACTCTGGCTTTGTACAGACGGGACTTGGCGATTCGAATTCGTATCAGAGCCCTGCCTTTTTCGTCTTGAAAAAGTGGCAAAAGTGACAAATTTGAAAAGGCTAAGTACCATCAAGCCAATCAGTAGATTCAAATGAGAATGCACCTGAGGCTCCTGGAATTTCTCGAAAGTCCTCGCTTCCTAGTTCAGCAACAACCTCGTTTATTTCCACTTCCAAAAAGACAAGATTGGCATGAAGGCTAGCAAGTTCAGCATTTTTGTCTTCGGGTTGAGTTCTTCAACACTTCTCACGAAGCTCCTCCAGACGCCGACTAAGAGAGAATACATTAAAAGCACCACCAGTGGTCAATATGATGATTATGAGTTGACAACTGAACCAAATGAAGACTTACACAGACACCCGCAGGTTCTCTTCAAGGTCGACCAAACGCTCCAACTGGGCAGTCAAGTCCTGTAGAGCATGGTTACCCAGGAGTTCAAGCTGACATTCACGTTGCCGAGTCCACTGCTCGGCATAATACTTGGGAAGCCTCCCCTCCGAAATCCACAAGCCTTCAAGTATCTGTTCGTTGTCGGCAAGCTCTTTCTCATATTGTTTCAATTTTGATTGGAATGATTTGACTGTTTCAAATTGATATTGGCAATATCAGTGGGTAGTTTAGATTATTCAAAGATAATCTATCTCACCCGTGTTCTCAAGGGAGACACGATTCATGTGCTTCGTTTTGAGCTCCAACGACACAAGTCTATGCTGACTTGTTGCATAGCAATTGACAGAAACTTGCGAGGACAGTTTGAACCACACATGTTCAGGTCCTTCACCATCTGATTTTCCCCAACCCTTATTGCTTCGCGGATTGTAGGCGAGTCGACATCCATATGCATGGGCATATGAATGAAACGCGCCTGTTGCAAATTTCATTCGACCATCATTCCTTTCCGTCTCAAAAAGCTTATGCTATTGATAAACTCACGAAACAGTATCAGTGAAGATGGATTGTTTGGTTTGAGTGGTTTTTCTGGACTCACCTTTACAATTCCCTTCTCGAGATTATACCCGATGTCGTAGATGACACCCACTTGTTTAGGTGGACCATCTGCACTACGAAGCTGTTCAAACAGCCAATCAATCAAAGCATGTGCAAAATAAGCTCTGATATCATACCATCAGTTTCCAATTATCTTGATTATTGGGAGAAGAAACAAGAAGTAAGTACACACTTTTCTCCACTTTGAACCACGTTCACATAGGCCAGGACGTGGTTGTGCCTGCAACACATGACAGATAAGCCAGTGTCATCAAATGCTCGTCATGTACTACCAGTACGGCGGTCGTTTGCCGCTGTATTTTGAGTGCTGCACTGATCCTGTCGACGTAACACACAGGTATGAGCTCAAATTTCAGTAAGAAAGATTCCCAGTACCCACTGCGGACAGAGCTCGATTCGGATCAGGTTTCTGAGCCCACTTGTTCAGGTGGTCTTCGGACAAGAAGAGTGAAGGTCTCTTTTTTTGAATGGCGTCCAATTCAACACTCGCAGATTTATGGCGACGCTGCTGGAAGTTGCAATCGAGACAGACCAGCACATCAGGTTCATCTGCGGGTAGCCGTCCTGAAAACCGTCCGTAACATCTTGGACATTTTGTTTTGAGCTTTCCAAAACCCGTAAGTTCAAGTGCTTGCTCGCTTAATTCTTGTTCTAATAGCATCATTTCTCGATAAACATCCACGGCCGATGTGAGTGTAAATCTCCACTGTCTAGCCTATATTACATATAAAAGCACGTAAATCAGAATGAAGCTTGAGTTGAGTTCAATGTCCGAGAGCCTTACGTCTTCCCCTTTTCGGTTCCAGAGGATGGCGTGAGTCAAATCAAGGAAGTTGTCAATTGCCTGTGCAAAAGGTTGCACCCGGACGTTGCAATATTTCCAGATACAGTGATGAAAACAAAGCATTCGAATGGAGAACGCCGTTTGAGGGTGTCCGGGTGAGCTACCTATATATCCCATCTGAATAAGTCGCACCTGATCAATTTGGCACAAGCAGAAGGTCACTGGAACTCTCCAGCGGCCCGTTTTGACAAAAGTTAGTTACTCAGCCATTAAAACTTGAAAACACGAGACTAACCAATTATGTCAATCAAGTCAACTGTTCGCGTGGTCGTCCTAGATTTGTTGCAATAGCATGGCTTTTTCAAATCAAGATTCCACTTATCTGGGTAACCTCTTCTAATCAGCCGACATTTCATGAAAGTCAAGAACATCACTTCAGTGATCTCTTTCCATTTTTGAGCTTCCCTTATCCGGCGTTCCTGATAGGTTAAGCATCCAGTGAGATGAATGTAAGCCAATCCAGGAATTTTGGGTTCTGAGTCCACATCCGACTCCGAATCTGAACTCGATTTGTCAGTCATCATCCTAACATCATCGCCGACGTCATTGAAGTTATGATCAAATTGATCTTGCGGTGATGGCGGATGATTTGTATTGTTCGTATCGAGTTGCTCGGGGTGAATAATGGCCTGCGATAGTCTATCAAGAAAAGGAACCACATAGTCCTCCTCCATCTCTTCAAGATTGGCTAATTCTTGCGCCGAACTGCCCAGGCGCCTAGATTTCTTTTGAACTCGCTTGCCAAGAGGGCACGGTATTCGCGAGTCAGACATTGTGTTTGATGTATGTTTGATGCGTACGTTGAACCAAAAAAAACTGATACGACGTATTAGAAAAACTAACGGAAAAGGAAGTTGTTCAAACGTTTCATTTTCCGCTTTCAAACAAAAATGAAGACTAACAGATTTGATGGCAACTTGTCAAAAAAAAAAACACTTTCAGTCAACTAGTCTGGAATGCGTTGGGGACATGTGATTGTTCATATTCAATTGGGCCTGGATGACGTATTTGGACACACTGATTTTGCTGAAAAACGGACTGATGTACATTATAGCTTTTCCTCTTGAAGTATAACACTGATGCTGAATGATGACACTATGTATCATCATTGTATCATCATTCTGAATGATGAATGATTATGATTCATCATTCATCGCTGAATGACATTCATCATACATCATCATGATATCAAATTACAATGATATGGAAAGTTGGTTATAGTATACGGTGGTGTTGGATGGAAATAAAATAGTGCTCATCAGAACCATCTATATCTTAGAACACTTGTTTACCATGCTATTACAAAGCTAGTCAACAGTGGTGATTTAAAAATCAAGTTGTCAGAGTGTTTCATTTCATCATATAAATTGGGTGTATAGTGCGTACCACCAGCCTACCGTCCTTATCAACCTGCTATCAGTTTGGTCATTGGACCAATGCTACCTTCAGAATTGAAGGTAAAAGGTAGCACCTATCTACCATAACATCAGGCCCTCATACTCCCATGTAGAGGTGCAAAAAATTCCTCCAGGAGTTGGAGATTGAAGGAATTATCTTCTCAACGCAGTTCATCATCTGAACATGTTCATGTACCATCTTAATGATACTATGTTTTTTTTCAACCTTTGTATATATACACCTCTATCTTGATTTGTTATCTATCTCCAATATATTTCTTTATTTCTTCAAGCTTTAAAGAGAAGAATCTTTTGATTCACAAACAACTTATTGATGATTGAGTTTGATTTGATGGTTTGAGTGTTGGTTTGATTCCTCTTTATTATCTCTCCTTGTTTCTTCATGACATTCCTTTATGACACTGACTTATTTCTTGATTGATTCTTACAGATAAGTATAAGTATCTACTGTTGCACTTTATCAAGAGTGCAACACAATTTGGATTCATAAATAATACCAAGGCCAGCACCATGAGGTTGGTGCTGGCCTAAAGTCACTAATATGGTCATCAAGGATGTCAAATTAGTGATTATAGTGGGTGGATGTGATTTCAGGTGGGTTATTTTATGTTCAAATGTGTTTCAAATGCACTATATATACTTATGGCAAATAATTTCCCCTCCTTGAACAAACCACATTTGACCAAAATGAGTGATGTTGGCATACTTGAGCTTAAAACATCAAATATATGCGATTCTGAGCTGAAATTTTAGAAAATTTTCAAAGTCACTTTAGGCTCAAACTTCATTAATAAACTACCCCTAAAAAATGTTCAGGAAATCACTAGAACAAAGGCAAATATTAAATAACAAAAACTGGCGGAGATATGGACATGTCAAAATGTGCATCAAATGCTCATTTGCACCAAAAGTGCACCAAGAAGTGGTCTTTTTGAAAAATTCTCTTATTAAATGGAAAATATTTTTCTATTTGGAATCACTTTCATTATTGGATCATCAGATTTGGAGTAATATCCGCTGAGATATTGCAATTTTCTCCATTTCAGAATCTCCCGACCCCTCAAGTAAACCTTTTGTTGGCCCTCACAGCAAAGAATTTTGCAAATTTTGTCATAATAAACTACAGTTGGAATTTTTTTCCCAACAACTTTCATTGTTGAATCATTAGGATGGGACCAATATCTGCTGAGATATTGCATTTTTCAGCAGTTCAGAATGTCCCAACACCTCAAATAAAGCTTGTGTTGGCCCTCACAACAAAGAGTTTTCCACATTTGGTCATAATTAACTACAGTTGAATTTTCTTTTTCAACATCTTTCATTATTGGATCATCAGGTTTGGAGTAATATCCGCTGAGATATTCCTAATTTCAGTATTTCAGAAACCTCAAGTAAAACTTTTGGTGGCCCTTACAAGTTGCCACTGTCCTTTTGGAAATTTCGTGTCAGTGAAGTACCCTTCAATTTCCTTCTTGAACACACCTCATCATTGTATCATTGCATTTGGTCCAATATCAACTTACTTATGCGGTTTTTGGGATCTTAGATTGTTCCAAAAGCTCAAAGAAAGCGACTTTTGGTTTTGGATTGAGCCCCTGTAATCATTCACATCATGAACGTCAAACAGTGGCTCTGATATATTTTGAATGTGAGACACAATAAATATGATGGACTCAAATGGACAGATCCACTCAGACCGTCCATTTAAACACTTATTTTTGTATCAATACCGGGAGACTCTATTAAAAGTATAAAATTGTATAGTATTGAAACGACATGCTTCATTTGACACTTATGCGTTCTTCTCTAAAAAGTAAGTACTTATGTATAAAAAGAACCAGAGGCTCCTCTAAAATGTAAGAATGTATAACATGAACAAGAGGCTCCTTAGTGCTCCTTCTCTTTCCCATTCAGAGTTGAAGTTGAGTTTATACACATACACATTCAAATGACTGGGGTGGGAATGATCAATTCCTTTCCCTGGTCACCACTGTTTGTTTGAAGAAACATACATACGAGTCTTTCTAGGTCTTTCTCCGAACCTATTGGGTATACAAGTCTTGATCCTTGACTCTTCCTTTCGCATGTGGTGCCTAGATCGAGACCTGATCCACACTTTCTCAAGCTCTGGATCAAGAGAAACACACCCAGTGCTGTTTGATCAATTGTATTACCCAGATCCATCTGATCTGAACAGCGAGAACCCCATATTTGGGCCCAGATACACCAGATACATCTGGTGTGAAAGAAGACACCGGATATATGTAGCAGCCAGACGTATCCGGCCAGATATGTCTGGCCCCGAGATGGTCTGGGATACGTCTGAGCCCTCACACCACTTTCCGATTGGACCAAGCCTTCATCCTCACTTCCAACATCCAACTTCTGAACCTCCACTATCGATCTTCTTCACTTCCTGACCACCTCCGCCCTTCAACCATCATCAAGCCAGTTTTTTTCAATAACCTCCATTCTTGAGAATCAATATGAGAACCACTCGTGCCAAATCAGGATCTGGATCCGCCTCAAAATCGGCCACATCAGCAGCCCAACCTGCGATCTAAACCAACAAATCAAAGTCGCAAGCGAAGAAGTCGAGGAAACGCAACCAAGCAACTGCTTTGGGTGACACAACTAGCACTAATGCCGGTGGAAGAAAGCAGCAAAAAAAAAATTCTGCCACTGATGCGGACAACAATTTAACTGTGAATCAAGCTGGAGACACTCAACAATCGAATTCTGCACCCAAGCCAACCAACAATAATCCAATTGTGTCACTTTCAAATGAAACCTTCAGTAACAATGTGGAAGAGTTTGACAAGACTTTCACTCTTCAAAGCATCAGTACTATTGGGAGAACTTGGATGGGATCTCGTGTCCAGGCAATGATCAACGCGAGGGAAAAGTATGCGTCGCACATACCTTCCGAGATTCTATCGGCGGCAAAGATAGCTAGACATAATTATCGGAAAGCGAAGCTGCTGTTTGCTGGACTTGCCAAAGTGAAACTCGAAACTTTGGAAGATAAACTGTAAGTACCCATAATTACACCTCCAAATCTGCACCGATAAGCAAATTCACAACTTTCTTTTTTCTTCTGAATAGTGGCGAAGGAGTAACTAATCCTCGGTCTTGTGATGCCTTTCGCCATTTCATGGCTTATGGGAAAGACTCCCTAAAGCTTTGCAGTATGTTCACCTGTTTATCATAATCAGTTTTAAAGTGTGATAACTGATGATGATATCATACAATCCAATCTAGTGCCATTAAACGGAGGAGAGAGGATGGTATTGGCAGTTAAAGGCTGGCCGACTTTGGACAGAAACTTACACTACCGATCAACACCGAGTTTTCATGGACAAATATTTTTTTGCGTTAGCAGGCATTCCCAATCTTGATCGGCCAACTGACGAGGAACCTGAACCGGACAGAGCTGCTCCACAAGTACCTTTGCTGACTCTTGAAGATGAAGAAAAATATTGCCCTATCTACGATGAACTAGTCGATCACGCCAAAGTCATTTGGTGTGAAGGCAAATGCCACTCTGGAAAGGATATGAATAAACTCTCCTTAAAGCGTGTTAGACAGCTTGGTAAACTTGTAAGTGTGTCTTATTGCACTATGCTCTGCCGCATTGGTTGATGTTTCATGCGTGCTTGATCCTCATAGCTTGCCCGTGATGGCGACCAATTAAAATTCAAGTATGTCTTCCTAGCTGCCAGTGCCCATCCTCCAGCTAAAGACACCGGGACTGGATGGTCTCGGAAGTACACCTCTGTACCTGCGATCACTAAATGGGCAGATTGCGAAATTGGCCTCTCCCGAGTATTTGCAACTGTGGCGCAGGGAGAGTCGATGATCAAAGCAATCTCGCATAATCAACACACAACTGCCAAGAAGAAATCAAAGGCTTCCACCTCTACTCAAATGCCACAACCTAGCGATGTCTTGAAAACGGAACTTGCAAGGGCTTTGAATCAGCAACTCAGTAAGTCTGCTCAATCATACTTCATCCTTTTGTTCACAGATATAAAGTAATTGACTGCCACAACTGTTTGTAGCCGAAGTACTTGGCTATTGTCCGACCAGAGGAAAATGCTTTCCTTTGACAGCTGACCCGGTTGCAGGTCTTGTCAAACGCAAAGTCCCTGTCGAATTGTTCAAGAACCGGAATCAAAATTGAGTGCTGAAGATTTGAAGGTCGGCCACAAGGCAATGCACAAGGTTCATCAACAGGAATGGTTAGATGATTTGAAAAGCAACCATTTTTGATTGGAGCTTTTGGATGGTGTGGAAAGGGTTGGTGCTGGTTCAAACTCGGGAGGAAATGAAGGTACTCAGGCCATCAAATCATCAAAAGGTAAGGGGAAGTGTGCAAGCAAAATCAAGTCAAGCGAAATAGTGAGTGATGAGAAAGAAGAGCAGGATGTTGATGATGATGATGAGGAAGAGGAGGAAGAGGATGAGGATGATGATGATGATGATGAGGAAGAGGAGGATCTAGGACTAGATATTGATGATGATGATGATGAGGAGGAGGAGGAGGAGAAGGAGGAGGAGGAGAAGGAGGAGGAGGAGGAGGAGGAGTAATTTGATGATAAATAAGTATTTCAATTGTGTTGTCTACCTTTACCTCTTTACCTCTACCTTGACCGTTGAATTTTTCTTTTATGTGTTTCTTTGTGGTGTCTTTTCCTTCATTATTATATTCCTTTGTTTCTTCAAGTTATAAAGTGAAGTTTTTGTAAAACTTTTTGATGTTTGTGCTGCTGCTTTTCTTTTTCTTTATCTTTTTCCTTGCTATATGTGATATGTTATTATGTCTTCAATTTTGAAGAAATCTAAAAATGTTTTTTGACGGGTCTTCTATGATATCAACCTGTGTAGTGAGCTGCCCACCATCAGATGCATCTCAAAATTTGAGCTTTTATAAGTAGTAAATGACAGGCAGTGCTTGTCAGCAGCAGATTCATCTGTGACCACCAGATGCATCTGCTAGTGTGACAATTGGTTGTGATTGTCAGTATATACATACATCTTACCAATGACCCAGAGCAGTGTGACCAGTGTTGAGCTGCCCACCAGATGTATCTCAAAACTTGAGCTTTATAAGCAGTAAATGACAAGCAGTGCTTGTCAGCAGATGCATCCGTTGTGGTGATTGTACGAAGTATAATGTACATTCAAGTGGAGTCATCTGACCAATGACCCAGATCAGCGTATCCAGATGCATCTGACATCACCCCAGATGCATCTGGAATCACAGTGCACAGAACACGTGATGAATCACACTCAGATGCATCTGGGGTCCCAGTGTACAGAACTCGTCAGGTAAAGCACACTCAGATGGATCTGGGGCCAGATGTAATGTGGCTACATGACTTACACGGCCCACTATTGGCCCAGATCCATCTGGAGCATTAGGCAGAGAGAATTGTGACCTTTGATTTTTTTTCAAAGGCCACTTCAGATGTGTCTAAAGGGTCTGGAAGGGTCTGAGTACGCATTTTCAGACTGGATCCGGCAAGTTTCCTCTTTTTTTGTTCGGATACAGTCCGAAGCATTTTGGTGACACAGGTGGACATGAACCATGAACGCGTAGGTAAAGAACCGTTTGAAGTAATGAAAAGCTCCGGGGAAGTGATAAAATTATCATCCCGGACTCGAAGATAAGACTTCATGACACAAATGGGACAAGCAGGCGTATTGATAAAAAATTGAATGATGACAGGAGCACCTATAAAATTGGTGTCGCCTTTAGAATAAGGAAGATTGTATTGAACAAATTTTTTGCATGTTGAAAAACGAAGAGTTGAACGTTGAATTATCTTCCTTGAATCGAAAAACTTTTTAGAATCAGGAACTGTCAGTTCACCCAATCGATGAAGGCCTCCAAACCCAACCCCCAACATGGCAAGAAAAAGTTTATCATCATACAAAGAGGAAGATTTGGAAACAACTGATTCGATTTGTCCTAAAGTAAGAGCCAATTTTCAAACCACCGGTTTTGATAAGTTTTTGATGCAGAATTTCATGATGTCCTTCACATCTTGATGATTTGATTCACAGATTACCGAAGGAAATTCAAGCCTAAAAATATAATGAATGCCGAATAACTATGCCCTAACTGATCTTGGCGAAATCATTCAACACATACATGAAACAAAATCGCAAAGGTTTCGTTTGTTAGGGGCAAAAAGAAGATTAAAATGAACACAAAATTTAGCAAAGCTTTGAAAGGCTGATTTATATTTTTGTAACGAAATGGGACTGATAGTAGGACGTTGATCTTGATTTGACAACTTCCTTAAATCACTTAACAAAACATTCAACATTGGCTTTTGTTGTCTCGAACAGGAAGATTTGGATTTAGCCATATCCTTGAAGACGAATCGAAAGTTGTTAGATTCACTTCCTGAACTCCAGACAAAAGAAAAGGATCAATTTTTAAATACGAAATCTCTGTCGCATCAATTGCATGACAGAGGACCTCAGACTTTTCAGGCGTTAAGATTAACTTCTGTTGAGACAGGGCAGCAGCGGCCGAATTAAAATCAGCCGAGACATGAACAACCTTTACATCTGCCCCCGCTTCTACCAGTTGCATAACACAATGACAAAATAAAGGTCTTACTATCTTATTTGGTGCATGAGAGCTGAATAGATCGACCACATTGCGGTTATCGGAGTGAACAAAAATCCGTTTAAAACCTTGACGAATTCCTAAACCTATAGCTGAGATAACACCTAATAACTCGGCCCAGTAAATGTTACGAGGAGGAGGAGGTAAAATGAAGTAGTTGCCTTTCCTGGAACTTGGTTCCCAAATACCAACACCCGTCATACATGCATCGGTAAAAAACTCGCCATCTGCTTCATTCAAACCCCATTTGAGCGACTCTAATACCATAATACCGCTACTTTCACTAAAAAACTTGATTAACCAACGTAAGTCATTTTGATTCTCTTTGTTTAAAGGAATCTGTAAAAAACGGTGAGACTTATTTCCGGATTTCTTGTATAGACTTTGCAGAGCATACCTTCCCCACGGCATTGACGTGCAAGCCCAGGAAGCATGTCCTAACAGTTTTTGCCAATTGTTCAAGGAATGCTGGGGACCAGAAACAAAATGCTTCAGAGTTTCAATGATATGAGTCTTCTTGTCGGGATGAAGTTGAATTGTCATTTTTTCGGAGTCGACTAAATGGCCAATAATTTCTAAGCTTGAGCCAAAGATTTGTTTCTTCCAAACCCATGGAAAACCCAAAATATCGGATAGATTCAAAAGCTTTGCTTGAGGAAGGGGAATAGAGTGACCTTTGAAATTAACAAAATGCTTAGTCAAACAAACCTACCAAACATCATCCATCATGTTGTTCAAAAATTTTATACCAAACACAAATTCCGCAATCCACAATACCAAAGAAAATACACCACACCATATATATGGTGATGCTGACGAACCAAAATTCAAGTTGTGATCAACTCGTTTTTTGTTGTTTTTGATTCGATAGATTTGTCGCATTTGATACTGAAAATGAAGCGGAATAATTCAAAGGCTCCTTCAATATCTGATTTGAACAATATAACGTCGCCTTCCTTCTCTTTCATTTGAATTAAATAAGGTATGAAATTCCGTAAAGAGTCGTAAGCAACTGGAATAGAATCTTTATCAATCAGATCATTTGGGGATGGCCGGCCGGCGCTCATATTTGAGCAAACCCGCATTTTAGTAGAATCCTTCTTTGATACCATTAAGAGAGGGATAACTTTCATTCCTAAGAGCAAAGTTGTGAATTCCTCTGAGTATCTACCTTTATCGATTTCCTCTTGACATTGTTCTTCAAGGAGGGTCTGATTAGATCCACACGTGACGTGGTTTGGACCGTCGACAACTGTTGAAGAGGGAATTGATGAATTTGGCCAGAAACCCTCTCGTAGACCTTTCAGGGCTGATAAAACAAATGGACGGTTAGGATGGTTGACGAGAAGAGTCTCCATTTTGTCTACCTTAATCGGAGTTACGATTTTGAAAAGGTGGTTGTATTGCTTCAAAACAAAGGCAGTGTTGACGTCTTCTGACAAAGAAGGGGCGTTTCTGAAAGGTGCGGCGAACAAACTCGATTCTATTGCTGGAGAAGAGCCCAAAGAATTGACTCCATCCCAAACATAGCCTTGTAAGAACTTCTGCTCAGAATCTTTAAAGGATTCTTCCACAACAACCGAAGAAATTTCCGAGATCGGTAGCCTTTGAACAAATCAACATCAGCTTCTAGAACAACAAAGAAAAGCAACTCATAAAAAATACCAACCCTTTTGCAGCAGTGTGACTACAAATTTCTTGAGAATCTTCCATACCATTCATCCTCGTGTCTCCATCATCCCCTCCTTCCCCTCTTGATGTTCTAAAAACGTGTTTTAGTTGTCAGGAACAAAGTAACTACACGGATGAAAGTAACTTGAAAAAATACCAACCCTTCGGACATATGACTCCCACAAGAATCATGGATATCATCTGAATCAGATGTGATCACATCCCTTGTGGTCCTTCTTACAACCCCTGACGTTCTGAGAGAACATACTTGAAAAATGTCAGGCCTCAAATGACATAAAAGGAAAAAATAGAAATAATACCAACACAACGGTGGATGCAAGGGCAGTCCCCCTTAAGCTTGCACCACCCCAGGTTGTGTGCAAAGCAGAACTGTTCACGTTCTGGAACCCCTTCCAAATCTTTAACCTCAAACAAACCTTTTTGTTTATAAGAAGATTTATAATACGTGGGCGAATGTTGAGTACAAGACGTGGATTGATGAGGTTGCGAATTCTGTTTTTGGCGTTGAAAAGGAATCGGGATTTGGCGGCTGCTAGTTGCGACTGTTTGAGGTCTATCTTCAAAAGCCTTCTGCATGTAGCGAGTCCTAATTGTTCCCAAGCTTTGATGACCCCAGTTGCCAAACAATATGTCTCTTCTTGACGCAAATTGTCCTTGAAGTGCCGCATCAAAATTTGCCACACATGTCCAATCAGCTTTTTGACCATTCAACACGAACTCTTGTTTAATCCAATTTGAGTATTGAAGGAAATACTTGAAACCTTTTGGAAAAGCTTCTTGATAAGCTTGTTGAAGGATATCAAAATAATAATACCAGTCTTGGATATTGTCGAGTTTCTGGGATACTTTCTTATTCTGAAGCTCAATGTCTTTGTCTTTACCGGCCACCATAAGATTAGTAGCCATCCCGCGTTTTTCCGCCATGTACTCGCCTTTGATTCTTCAAAGGTCGATGTATTTTCCTTGAAGAAGTTCTTTAGAAAGGTTAGATGGGAAATCTGCTGGTTTAACTCTATCAATAAAACCTTCAACAGCTTTTGTAAGATTAGGTGCGTAACCTCTAACGGTTTTTGCAAATACCACTGCGCTTTCAGAAAGGTGTTCAGATGCAGAAGGTCCGGTGTCGCAACGTTCGACCTATTCCCACGACTTTTGCATCTTTCGTTTCTTCCCTTCTGTCTCGTCGTCATCCTCATCATCGCTTTTATAGCCTTTTTCTTTCTCAACCACGCTTCTAGCAACAAATGGAGAGAAGGATTTTGAACGCTGGGGATTATTTTGGGAATCCAACAAATCTCTAGCCTTTTGGGTGTTGTTGATTTCCTCTTGTGTAAGGATTTTAATAGCAGCTCGGGATCAATTGCTCCTTGGAGGTGAAGGATTGCGAGATCTTTCGCGGCTTCGGGGCTCGTCAACAGGGAAGGAGGGGTTATCATTAAGATTGAAAACATAGACAGGTTCGTCGTTAGATGAAACTGGTCTGGTAGGAACAGGCCCTTCATTCTTGAAGATAGGTCTGTTTGCTTCTTTGTCCAGGTCAATAAGGCTGGAAGCATATTTAGACCATTGTTTATACCAGTTTTTGGTATCATAAGGAACGATGGCGGAGTAAAGCGTTCGGACTTGAGACATGGTTTTACCATTGGACCCACCCGCCGTTTGATAATTGGCTGTGAGGGCAGCCAACGCCTCGGTAACCACTCTAGCAGCTTCGTAATCATAACTGCCGTCATCACTCATCTGAGATTTTTTGAAGAAACGGTTTTTTAGACAGGACGGAGGTAAAGTAGATGGTTGTTATAACAAAAAGCTTTTAGGTTTTTGTCTGTGAATAGAAAAACTCCGAGCTTTTGCAATCACGAAAAAAGTAAGACGAAACCTTGTAAGTTGATGAAATATTTAAAAAGATGATGTTGGATGAATAGGAAGAAAACGATGTGGAATGAATTCGGACAGATGGTAAACAGAAATGACATCATATCTGTTCGAAAGATATAGCAAAGAACCGACCCATTAGCAATCATCACGGGTATGTTACAGTCCAAAAAGAATTACACTCCCATCGGTTAATGACAAGTCACCCACATCTAATTGAAAATAACAAAAATGTTATAAAATTCAATAATCAACTGGGTAATTTTGAATTTTGCACCGGCACTCTTTTGCACCGACCAACTCGGTGTAAACATGTCGGTGCAAAATTCTCCCACCCCATTTGAAACAATGTAACCAAAACCCAATCAAGTCTTCTTCAAATGTCATCTCATTCAATCAAATTATATTTCTCAAAAATTCCTTCTTCTATTACAAAGTATACTAAATAAAATCCTAATCAGACTTATCCAACAACAAAAAACTAAAAAAACTATGCTTTGTTATATCTTGATTTGATAACTCATTCAAAGCAATCAAAACTCTCAAATCCTCTCAAATAAAAAACCTTTTATATCATGAAAACCATCCTACATAAATACATATTCATAAAACCTTTTCCTTCATAATCTTTTTCTTTGCATTCATCAAAAATCCTTATCCTTATCAAATTTTCTAATCCATTTAAAAAAATTCATAATCAGAAAAAAAAAGAAGAGTAAAATCCTACAAACAAAACAGAACTAAAAGAATTTGTATCCATAATCATGATCATCATCATTTTCAAAAAAAAAAGTCTTCTTCATCATCATCATCATCAAAAAATAATAATATATATTATAAATATATATATGAAACTCAAAATAAGTATAAGTATAAGTATAAGTATAATATTCAAAACAGAGAAACAGAAAAGATAACAAAAAAAAGAGATTTCTATTTGTAAAAAAATAATAATGAAAAAGTCAAAAAAAAAGTAAAGAAAAGAAGAAAAGAAGAAAAGAAGAAAACTAAAATAAAATAAAAGAAAGGATAAGAAAAAAAAACCATTGACTTCAAAAAAAAAAGACTTCAAAAAAGACTTCAAAAAAAAGGAAAAACCTCAAGACAAACCAAAAAACCAAACTATAAAAAAAAACCTAAACTTGCATCTCACAATTTTTTCCCAAAGACAATCTCTAATTCCAATCAAGATCCCACCGGTTTAACAGGTACAGATTGTCTTAAAGAACCATTATGATGATGATGACTATTGCCAGCCCCAGTACTACTACTACTACCACCAGTTCCCACCACAGTAATAGATTGAGTTCTAATCCGACTAGTCGTCGTAGCCGTTCCACCACTCGAAGTACTAGTTGTACTATTATTCAACGTAGGTTTCCGTCTAGGTGATGAGATCAGGATTCCAGAACTACCTCTTTGGTTTCGAAGACTACCAACCCCATTGGTTAGAGTTCTTTGAGACCGACCGGCTATGATCCATGGATGTCTCATGGCTGGATCAGGTTTTAGGCGTCTTTCGGGATCCCATGCTAAACATTTCCCAATGAAATCTAAAAACAATTCATCATCTGTTTTTAGGACAGATGATAAGCTTTTCGATCCGACTCTTCTTCTACGTCCTTTTGAATTCACTACTGGTCTAGGTGCTCCAGTTGAATCTAAAAGAAAACCAAAAAGAGAAAGTAGAAAACAATCAGTTAAATTCTTTTCTAATTTTTCTCAGATCGGCCAACAAATAGGATTCGATGTCATTTGACTAACCAAAAAATAATTTCCTTCTTGAACTTCTATCAACCAAATACTTATCAGGCATTCCCAAAACTTCCATAATACAAGCCAATTGTTCAGATTCAGTTTCACCCGGACTATTTCGAAAATTTTCCCAAAACTAATCATCAACCTTTTTCTTTTTCTTACGCTTCATCAAATCCGAACCAAAAAAAAACAAACTTACAAGATTGGATAACCTGTATAAAGTTCAGCTAAGATACAACCTAAACTCCACATATCAATTGCCATATGATAATTCATTCCAAGAATCACTCTATGAAAAGTAACCAAAGATCAAAATCAAAATCAAAATCAAAATCAAAATCAACAAAAAAACTTCAATAAGAGAAAACTTACTCAGGAGATCTATAGAATCGACTTTGAATATAAGTATAAACTAATGAAAAATGAGAAGAAAAAGATCAAAAAATTCAATCCATCAGTCAAATCAATCAATCATTTCGATTTTCTTTGGTTTAAAAGGATTGATCAAAAAAAGCTTGATTAGATTTACCTTTTTCATTTTCAAAACAACTACTACCAAAATCAATAGTTTTAATCGCACTTTTCCCCGGATGTCTCAACAAGATATTCTACAAAAAGTCAAAAAGTCAAAAAGAAAATCAATCCTCTCATTCGATTCCAATTCCCCACTTTAAAAAAAAAGAATAGAAACCAAATGAAAAAAAGAAGCGTACCTCAGGTTTCAAATCACAATGAACCACTCTATGATGTCTCAATAAAGAAAGAGATTGTAAGATTTGAATGGTAAACCTTCTGATCAAGACAGTCGAGAACCCATTAAACGAATTATTTCGAATCAATTCATACAAATTAATACTCAGTAATTCATTCACAATACAAAGATGACCTCGAAATGAGAAATGATCCGTCATTTTCAAAACACAATGTTTATCATCTGGATCCTATTTTTTTCGGGCGCAAAATCAACATTCAATTCTACTCTTCTTTCGTGAAAAATTCTCAAAACTTACCCAATTCAACAAGTTTTCCAAAACTTTAATCTCCACCAAAGCCTGATGATGAAACCTTCTTTTATTCCTAATAATCTTAATAGCCACCATTTCCCCAGTTTTATGATCTCTACACTGTAAAACTTGTCCAAACGATCCTTTTCCCAATACATCTACAATCTCATATCTAAACATCAAATGATCATTACGTATAATCAAATAATCTCCTCTCTCATCATCATATCCAAAGTTTTGATTAACTTCTAATCGATTGGCCATCTTCTTATTCGATTCTGCTCCTACATAATATATCTCTTCAAAACCCAAGATTTCTACTTTTTCATAATCCGATAAATAGTTTCGATATAACCTCAAGGCTTCCTTGGTCGTCAACGCTTTCGTTGGCTCTAACTTTCCTGCAATCTCAAAGAGCTTATTGATCTCGCTTAAACTCATCCCATTGGCTAACTTCTTACTCTTCTGTCTAGCCACATAAGCCAACATCTCTTCATCTCCTCTTAATTCTTCTTCACTCACTTGTTCAACCTGTCCTCCACTCTCTTGTGTCGATTTAGCTCTAGTGATTTGATTCGAACTGGTCGAATCATTTGCTTGATGATGACTACTCGCAATCGTAGGTGTAGTAGACGATCTAGACATTCTAGATGGTAAAGTTAATTTACTGGCTAATCCTCCGACTCCTACTCTCTTACCAAACTCATTAGTAGAATGATCAATCGAATTACTAATACTCGAAAGCCTTCTTGAACTATTCAGACCTGTACTGGCCAATCGGTTAGCCTGTGATTCTTGTGTAGTCTTCACAACTGTCCTTCTAGCTGCTGCAAGTCTAGCGGCTGCTGGACTACTGGTGTTCTCTGATCCAACACTCGATTTCTCTTCTGGTGCTTTGATCTCTTTAGTTGAATCAGTTGATGATTTCAAATCTAAATTCGATAGTTTTCTCATCGATTTACTGGTGGTGGTCGAAATCGATAATCCCGATCTAGTTCTAGGTATCAATGAAACTGTCTCTGATGTTCGTTTACTGGCTTGATGACTCATCATCCCAAACTCATTCATACCTGAATCAGGTACCGGTTCAGTTTGTGCATCATCTCCTCCTCCTACTCCTTGTACTGGACTTAACGATTTGTTAGGTTGAGTTTTGAAAACCGCTCTTGGAATCTTAGTAGGTGTCGAAGGAAACTTTTCACTCGCTTCTTCTTTCTTCTCTTCTGTTCTTAATGGTGATCCATCAATCGTAGGTAAGAGTCCTCTTCTAATCGAACTAGTAGATTCCTTTATACTTCTGACTCTCATTCCTCCTCTGATCGAAACTGAACTTGAATTGATCGCATATTCTCCTGATCTTCGTTTAGATGTAGAAGTCTCATTGAATGAATCAACCCTTTGGATGGTAGAAGAATCGATAGCTGACATTTGCATCGGTGGTAAAGGAGGTGGGACGGTTTCTTTGGTTGGATCAGCAGCTGAAACAGTCTGTTATGATCAAGTTAGAACTCAACATCTGAAAAACAAACAACTTCACAGACAAAAGAAAACTTACCTTGCCTCTCCTCCTACCAATCAAATTAGAAGCTTTAGTACTCAAAGTCAATTTCTTCATCGTACTAGTCGGACCACTACTGTTACCCGAATTCGACCCCGGTAATTTACCCTTTGAATCTTCTTGATGAACATTAATCGACAATTTACCATCAATAGGTGATCTCTCGACTTTACTACTACTACTACCAGCCGAGATCGACACTGTAGGTTTCCTACTACCTACACTATTTCTAATAAACACATTCAATCCCAACATAGATTTCCTACCTTCACTCTCTAATCTAGGTGAAGCTTCAGGTACAGGTCCAGATTGATTGGTAGAATTAGAATGATGTGTATATGAACTCTTTCTCGAAAAGAATGGGATTCCAGATGGAGTTCTTCTAGCTGAAAGTCCTGAAAGTTTACTCGTCTCATCGGTTTGATGACTTGAATTACTAATCGTTCGATCTCTTGCATTCGAATTATCATGAACAATGGTGGGTCCACTACTCATCTCATTCAACTTGGTCATCGGCATCGTGCTCAATCCAGATTTCTTCAAATTACTTGAATGTCTTTCTTCTACTTGCTGTTCTTTAGTAAATGAGGGAGATCGATTAATGCCAAGTGCAGCAGACAAACTCCATTTCTTATTAGCTTTTGATGTGATGGTAGTAGGATTAGATGGAGTACTAGGTGATGGTAAATCCGTCAACTCTTCTGAATTCTTTGGCGTGGTAAATGAATGCAAGAACCTAGAAGTCGCCGAACCCGGTAATGATTCAGAGTTACCAGTGATCGGAGTATGTTCCCCATCAGCTCCTCCAGGCGGTCCTATTCCTGAAAAGGATTTAGAGCAAGGTGAATCTAAAGTCTGTTGACTGTTCCTTCTAGGACTAGGTAGTTGAATAAACGAATGAGATTGAATCCTATTACTCGTTGGTTGAGGATGATTAAGTTGAGCGTTTGATAGGCTATAAGTATGTCCTTTATACGTTTCATAATCTTTCGGTAAAGGCGGAACAGGTGGTATGATTTTCTCGACTCCTCCACCAGCTTCGGATCCATCACCGCCATTTCCACTCAACACCGAACTAGCCTCACTACCCACACTACTTCTTCGTTTAGTAGGAGGAGAACGAGCAGGATGAAACGATGAAGCGGATACAGAGGTGGCAAGAGTAGAGTCTCTTGATTCGACGGTGTTAGTAGTCGAATTCGTTCCGCCTGTCGAAGATGTTGAGCCCCTTTTCCAATCCAAGACATCACCGTCTAAAACTTTAGCTTGAGATCCACGTCGACTGAAGGCAGTTTTAGGACTGTTTGAATTCTGTGATAATTCATTGGGAAACGACACAGCCGATGAAGGTGCAGAACTGAGATGATGTTGGATGGGTTGTGTGAGTGGTGGTGGTTTGAAACTTGAGCGAAGATGATTGGCTGATTGAGGATGGGCATCTTGAGTAAGATCATCAGCTTCAAACAATGAACTTTGTTCTTTAGTGCTACTGATCAAACTACGTGAACGCGTCTTCTTAGGCGATAGATGATGTTCTTCTCCTCCAGACTTGTGTTTATCTTTAGTAGAACTATGATGATGATAACTAGACCGATCTTTATCTTTTCCACTTACACTTGAAGAAGGGGTGTTTGATCGACTTTGATTTGGACGACGATTGGCACCACTAACCGAGGATGTAGGTCGACTTCCGGTGGATTCTTTGGTGAGTAGCTTAGATGTTCTCGGTGAAGTAGTCGAGAGTCCATCTAATTTTCGTAATGCTTCAGCTGTATCATCATTCTTGGCTGCAGCTTGTTCCATTTCCATCACTTCCAATTCGGTGTTCACCAATCCTGATGAAGCTGATTTGAGGATCGAATGTGCAATTGTAGAAGGTGAATGATGATGAAAGTGGGAGGAAGGAAAAGTCGGTTTATTGTTATTAAAAGGATTTGAGTTTGACAAATTCTCTCCTGCTACTCCAAGACCAATGGAGTAAGCTTGACCCGGTTCATATCGATTGCTCGACGACTGTGTGGTAGGCTTCGTAGGAGATTGAAAAACATGTGAAATCGAATCCCGTGTTCGCTTATCAGGCTCTTCAGTCAGTTCAGGATGTGAATCCCATCCTCGTGATTGCCTTGGTCCAGATTTGATGGGTTTTTCACCACTTGAAGAAATCTGACTCCTATGCTTGGGGTGATTATTGGGATGCGATAAAGAGTGAGAAGATAATGTGGGATTGGATTGATCGTGATTCTCAGTGGGATGGTTCAATGGTAAAGTTGAGAAACTGTTCGAAGTCCAAGAATTGGGCATACGCTCAAACGTGTTATGATCGGTAGTAGCTCGACCTGGTGCAGAAAAAGGAGGGGAAGAGATGATATGCTACGACATAAATTAGTCCAAATTTGGAATCCATCAAGGCAACTCTGGAGTTAGGAAATCAGGAAAGAATGGCTTACCTGTTCGTGGTCTGAACCATCTTCCTGACCTTGTCGAGAGTTCTTCTGCCCTAGGGCATTGTGAGAATATGTTTTCGAAGGTCCACCACTGTCAGATTGTGGATGAGACTGACTCTGTTTCATTGCTAATGGTGATGAACGATCCATAAAGGTTTGTGTGGTAAGATTCTAGATGATCACGAAAAAAAACCCAAATGTGTACCAGTTTATCAATCAATTGACATACTAGGGGTGGTTAATGAAGAAGGTCAAATCAAGAAAAGATCAAATCACTCACCTGTTGGTCTTCATCAGTATACGGACCAATCACGTCCTCCTCCCAATTCATAGTAGAAGCTTCATTGGAATTCTTGCTCTTCTTCTTCTTCTTTGTCAAGGTTCCAAGTTGAGGAGTAGCACCATCACCATCATTGAGATCAATCGAACTGTTCAAGGAACCCTCTGGATGATGTTGATGAGTTCTACTAGAAGAGATAGGACTGAGTGGAGATCCGAATTGATGATTCCAATCGGAAGTGGTACCACGAAACCGCGAGATCGGGTCAGTATGCTGTGGTGATGATTGATGATCTGATTGACGATTTGGTTTGATAGCAATAGATGACCAACGAGGTGTAGCCAGTTCACCTAATCCTACCAACCTAGTTCTATCCACTACTACCGGACTACAGATAGGACTAAAGAGTGCAGGATCAGGATGGGTTGGGTTAGGATGATTGATTTCTGATTCTGTTCTAGGACTCATGATTGATTTAGAGTGTAAAGCAGAAGCTTCAGAAACACTAAAAGGCATTCCAAGACCTATGTTTGATCTACGAATTGTATTCTGTTCATATTGTTGTTGATCGAGAGAAGGTGGAGAAGAGACGATAGGATTGGAATAAGCTTGAGATGAGTCTTGAGATGAACGAATGCGATTCTGAGATGATGAAGATTGAGTAAAAGAAGGGATTCGAGCTCTTTGAAGTTGAGGTGAATCTTGAGAGATGGTCGTCATTGAACGTAAAGGAGATGAAGGAGCTGATAGTTTGTTCGTAGAAGATTTTGAGTTAATGATGATTGAATTGTATTCTTGAGAGAGACGTTCATCTAGGGGATGAGTGAATTTAGGTTTGATGGAAATGAATTCATCTAGAATCGAAGGAGATCTAGAAGATGAAGAGAGTGAGTCAGATGTGGGTTCTTGATGAAATGAAGAAGTGAGTTTGTTTGAAGATAATCTGAGAGGAGTCGGCGCGGTTTTCTTTCGATTGATACTGAGAGTAGAAGAAGTAGGTGAAGAGATTGGATTTGAGAGTGAAGAACTTCTTGGAGCGATGATAGATTGAGTAGTAAGTTGAGATGAAGATGAACTTGAAGGGAATTTGAAGTGATCCATTCCTTTGATTTGAATTTGAATTTGAATTTGATTTGAATTTATAAATTTGATAAATAGTAGAGAAGTAGAGATGATAGATATAGTAAAGTAAAGTGGACTACTATAGTGGTCAAGTGAAGTTCAAAATCAAAATCCAAAATCAAAATAAAATGAAAACTAAAGATTGCTGATAATAAAACATTTTTAAACAATAAGATAATGATAATCAATCTAAACCAATCTAAACCAATCTAAACCAATGAATGGGTCTGTGAGTCAAATCAGAATCACAAAGAGAATCTGAGTTTGAGTGAGAAGATGAGTAGAGTCTGGGTTAGAGTGAGGGTGTGAGTGAGAGTGACACTGATACCAAAGTTAACGAGTCGATGAAATCAAATTATTAAATTTAAAATAGAAAACCATTAATATTTAACTATGACTATGACTATGACATAACTCTCTCTCCACAAAAAACCAAATCAAAGATCCATTCATAAGCACTAAAACTTTATAAATACTACTTCACTCTCACACTTGATCAAGTTCGACTGATCTAATTTACAAATTCAATCACCTATAGCAAACTTGTTGAGAAATTGATCAGGTTTGACTTATAAAACTGTAAATCTCAGACTCAGTGTGTGATCCAGTCAAACAGGTGGAGAGAAAAGTGTCTTCTTACGATCAATAATTGAATTCATGAGACTATGTAATCTTATTTCTCTGCTACTCACAGGTTTTCAGATTTCAGAATGTACCCTGCCTGAAATCAACTGATGATTGAAACAGATCAATCAGTTCCTAATCCGTCATCATCACTTAAGTACATTTCACCTAACTTGATGTTTGATCCATTGAAATTCATCACAGGAACTTAGGACACTTAAATCAACAATCAAAGCAAGACGAAAAGTCTCAAATAAGATTCGGAAAAGCTTCATGAAGAGTTTTATAAACTTCAAAGAAAATTGATTCATCATTAAATTGACAAAAAACAATCATGGGTGATAGTGAAAAATCTTCCTTTAAAACTCTTTTCCAAATAATAAGATTAAATTAATCCATAAAATAAATCAAAACAAAAACCCCAAAGAATAACACATATATTTCTTAGAAAAAAGAAATGAAAATCAAACAAATTATTAAATTTAGCAGAAAGAAAAACCAAAACCAAAGTAAAAGTAGAAAAAGAAAAAGAAAAGATTTGACCAAGGAGTCGATTAGGTTTCGTCCATATAAAAAGAATATTCCAAGGATCTAATTGATCAGTTATTTTTATCCTTTTTGATCTAAATTTCCCATTGGTTTATGACCCACAACAGTAGTAGTAACCGAATAACAACTAGCTTGAGACAATTCTCTAGACAAAGGAGTATCAGTAAGTTGATATCTAATCAAAGATTCTTTTTTTTGAACTCTTAATGGTCTAGGAGTAGTAGGTTGACATTTTTCAATTGGAACATAAGGATTTGGAATTAATGAATCGCTATTGTTGGTTGTAGGATTAAGTAAATCGGATGGTGACCAAGCAGATTGAATCGATTCAGATTGAATACTTTCGATGAGTTTAGATCGGATGTTCGTTCTTTGATCTTTAACTCTTTCTCGTAAGATCTCAATGCTAGATGAATCATCTGATCGGGCTATACTGATCTCTCTTGATAATGGATGTTGTCTTGTTCTAGGAAGTGGGATCGGTAGTTTTGTTAAGGGTGTACTTTCTTCTGTTTCGACGTTAGAAATCGACACAAACGATCGGATTCGTGAGGTCATGGTGTCTCGAAGACTTGATGAAGATCTTAGAAGCCCATCTTGTACTTGACTCATCTCTACTCTAGGACTTCCGTAAGCTGGTTCAGGTGCCGTAGGGATTGATGAAGAAGGAAGATGATCAGTCGAAGCTGTTCCTATAGGTGCTAAAATCACGCCTCCATAAATAGGCGCAATCGAATTGGACGTTGGATTACTTATCCAACTTAATTGACCATCATCCATAAAACAACTCATCCTAGGTGGTGGTTGACTTGGATGAAATCCAACAAACGAATGAAATTGTGAGGTGGAAGTCGGATCATTGTTGACTTGATTCATCACTGTGGGTGGTGGTGCTTGAAGATGTGTTGAAAACAAATGTGAAGGAGTTGAGCTATGTGGTAAATCATTGTGTAATAACACATGAGGGATTTGTCCTGAGAATCCATGTGGCATGCTTTTGATCGAATCTACGTCATCATCTAAAGCTCTTTTGGAAAACTCTTGGGGTGTCTATCATCAAATTCAAAAATAGATTTCGTCACATTATTATTGATAGAGTAAAGAAAAAAAAACACGTTAGCTCATTTTGATATGTTGTTTGTATCTCTTTTTTTTCAACACTTACGTTTAAAAACTTCCAAGTATCATCATCAATTATTTTCTTCCTTCTTCGATTACACCATCTACGAAGTCCCCAACTTGAAATAGCAAAGATCACACCTAAGATAGCTAATCCAACAAGAGTAGTAACAAAGATACTACCAGCGCTAGATCCAAGTGATTGAAAGAAATCATTTGGACCAGCCGAATTTCCGTTTCCAGAAACAGGAATTGAGCTAGCAGTAGAAGAAGCGATGTTTGAAGTTGTTATCATTGTTGTACATTGAGATCCTAAACATGATGATGTAGCAATTGTTTTAGGTTGTGGTATAGAGTTATCTGTAGGACTTGGATTGGCGGAAATTGTCGAGACAATCTTTGTAGGACTAGAAGTAGGAGTAGCTACACTAGCTGATGAAGTCACAGGATTAGGTGTTGCAGTTGGTGTTGGTTGAGAACTACTCAAGTCCATCCAACTGGGTGCAGAGACGGCCGAGACGATTGGTGAAAGGTTGAGATTCCCAACTGGTAAAGTAGTATGAATCGCTGGCAATATTGAATTTGTACTAGGTAGAAGAGCTGGAGGTGGTGGTCCTGGGTTCTGTGTTGTGGCTAGTTGCTGAAGTCCACGCTTTTGTTGAGCTTGTTGTGAAGTTTGTTGATCAGATTCCGTGACATTTGATTTTGGAGCTAATCGCCGCTTCTTGACGACTCGCTCTAGATGTTGGCCTCCCATCCAATGAGCTGATATTGAAATTGAGAAAAGTCCTCGCAGTTCGAGGAAATGGACGAAGGATTATTGCGCCTTTCGGCTGACCGTTATAGATAGCTCAAAGTTGATGATAACACGTAAGAAAACCCAAGACTTCTCACAAGAAAGATTGAAAGGTAGTTGAATGTTGATCGAATGTCACTAGGACCTGAATGAGTGCTCAAACCCAAAGTAAAAGATATGTTAAAAGTTGTTTTGAAACAATGGACGTCAAGTCTGAATCACAGAATATGGTAATGTTTGAAAGTTGAGAGAGATAGTCGACCAGGACACGATAGCGAAACTGGACCAGCAGTGCAGTGAAAGAGGATAAGAGGAATGTTAGAGATCTTCAATCAAGAAATGTAGTAAGACTTCCCAACTGTTAGGATCAAGTAGAAGTCAAGCAAAGGTTGAGGATCAGAAATCGATTCCAGGGACTCGGAGGATAAGATGATGGAACCGGGAAGAACACGAAAGACGGTGATGAAAACACGAGCATGAATTAGGGAATGAAGCCCTAAAGTGAGGAAATGGTAGTCAAAACAATCAGAGTGAATTGGGAAACTTCATCAGATGGTAAATTAGACTCTAGTCCAACTTCCATCAAACTGATCAAAAAACTAAAGTTGGCAAGTGAAGGCGGAATCAAGGTTAACTTTTTCAAATGGAATATTTCATTTCAGACGGCACCAGTTGATGATGGCGTAGATATCTAGATGGCAGGAGTCAATCCCATTTTACGACTCGAGTTGGAAGCCACCCCTCCCCCTTTGATTTCATAGTCCGAGTCAAAATCCAACATTGATATCCAAAAAGAAGGAACTGGGTGCAGCCCCACATTACTTTTGCTCGTTCAACTTCAACCAACTCTTGTGAGTTTTCCATCTATATCGACCTCATCTCACTTCCTTTGGAGCGATATACGCGATTGTGGTCGCTTTTTCAGCGCTGTTCATCCACACATCCTATCAAGCTTTGTACAAACACCTCATCCAGGCGCTATAAGCTTTCTGATCTTCATCAAGAAGAGTAAAGGTGATACCCATCAAGCTTTTCTCTAACTTTCATCTCATTCTCTTGTTTGATATTCTCAAAGACCAAATTTGATCGATCTCCAATTCGATCGATCTTCACTTTGCCTGAAGTGCCTTCTCTAGAAATGGCTTACTTTGGCTTTGGACACGGATCAAAACAGTATCAAAAGTTCAAGATAATCTCAAGATTTTTAGTCAAGACCAAGTATTTCGTTTTGGATTTTGATCAGCGTAGTACTTCAATCTGATCAACTTAGACCTTCTAAAAGATGTTTTGAGTAATATACCATCGAATTTGTGGTAGCTTCATTGAATATATCTTATCATAAACAGAATTTATCAACTTCAGTTGGAAATACGTCTCAGTCAGCTGTACGTAATTTCGGGATAGTTACTATAGTATAGATCATGATGGCAAACTTTTGAAATCTTGTCCATATTGAAAATCAATGGTGACTGAATACAATAAGAAACTACCCCGTTGTACATGATAGCTTGATAATTAAGATGTAAATAATTTACCTTTTCTTTTAGAACAAAGTCTTCTTGATACACAAACTACAATTACATCAAAATCTCAAAGACCAAATTCAGAGATCTGAAGTACATCCAACGAGTTCAAACCCACTCTTGATTTTATACAGCTTGCCTCGGAATCCCCGTCAATTTGCTAAAGTTTGCGAGGTGGAAAATGCACACGCAAGCTGCTTGGAATCGACTGTATAACGTGATTTTAATGTAGCGTCTCTTTCAGACAAATCATTCTCAAACCTCGCGAAGATCGGCGGGCTATGTGATTTGATCGAGTCGAATGGCTGATGTTGGAATATTGAGTTTGTGATTTGGTCGCCTGTTCCGATTTGACCTAGGATTCATATCATCCCGTTGATCTTATCCTCTTTTCTAAAGCCTAGACGAGAATGGTAGTAGGAGAGATAAAAAGTCTGTAGGATCTGAATATCAAACGAAGTCTCCTGAAGCAAACTTGATTGGCGCATCAGGATATTGATTTGACTGCTTAGGATATTGATTTGACTGCTTAGGATATTGATTTGACTCATTAGGATATTGATTTGGATCATTGGGATATTGATTTGACTCATTAGGATATCCATCTGCTTCATTAGGATATTCATATGGCTCAGGGCCGCCAAGAGACTTAGCAGTGATTATTTTCATATCTTTTTCGGAGTTGATGCCAGACAGCGTGATGTTTTGATCGACGGAGATGAAAGGCAATACGGCTTTTTGATCTTCGGAAGTGATAGGCAGTTCGGTATTCTCGGCAGAGGTGGGAGGCAGTCTGGCCTTTTGATTGGGGGAAATGATAGGCAGATTGGAATTTTTGGCGGAGGTGGTAGGCGGTCTCTTCGTTTGGTGAGTGGTGTTGATAGGTACATTCTTGTTCGGATTATGGGTGTTGGCAATGGCCGGATCGAAAGGGTTCGTGCGCAAAGGTTGGAGAGGATTATTTGCCTTCTGTGGGGGCGGATAAATTATTTTGTTTGAAAAAGCTTGACGATTGAGCCGAACGGCAGCACAAGAGCCAAACCCTTTTGGATTCACACATCTTATCACACACGCATCTTTTGTTTTACCTCCTAAACACACCGCCTCACTATGGAAGGGTTAACAAAATCCAATCAGCAATTTACTTTGATCCAAGATCTTTCTAGCGTATCTAGTCGATCTTAAGACTTACGGTGGAAAGACCGAAGTTAAAGGATACACAAAGTCTTTACTCGCCTCATTTATACCCTTATCACCCTCTATTTGGTGACTGATGGTCATAGGTTTCAAGGACTTCATGGTCAGATCTGCTGAATAATCACAAGCAAAAGGACCGGCACCATCCCGGTTGTGTACAAAAACACTCATGACTAAAGAGCCGTCATGACGAGCGAGGGGAAGACCATCATTTTCGGCTGCGCGCAGGCATCATACATCATTCAGGAGAGTGGCATAGGCATTAGCACAAGCAGGGGTAAGAAGTCACATGGCACAAATGATTTTGAGGATATATTGGTAGACGAACCTCGTCGGAATTCTTCCTGAATATTTACCACGAATCCCTTCATCGAGTCACCTCCAAAAATCCTTCCACAAGGTGTAACTGCGCCTGTTTTTATCTCTTCCTCCTTAATGATCCCAGTGAATTGAGTCAATGTACCACGAGTGGTGAAACGTGTCCCAAATCCGCTCGATCGATGTCCATTAGCCCCTTCAATGGCCAGTATGAATGAATGCCCAAGTACGATAGGACTTAAAAGGAGAACGCAAAGAAAAAAATGTATCGAATGTTTTCTTTCGATGTTACTTCGGGATGTCATTGCGGCAATTTCGTCTGCTCTCCTCGAGCCTAACCTGTGAAGACATTAGCAATCTTTAAGCTATTGAGTCAGAAATCATGACCTCACTCACCCTGAAAAGGCGTAGTCCTATAACCGTCCTGTACCAGATTGGGCTTGATGGCAATTCGAGATCACCTCAAACGAAATGATTATATATCGATTGATTGTGATTACAATCAGCGCTTGCTATGGAACAAGATATCCAGTCTGTTCTATCACGAGATCTATCTGGGTTGCTTTTCGGGTAGGAGTTATGACCACGAGAACTTGCTACAGCCTATGGAAAGTAGACAAGCGATGTCTGATTGATACCAGTGCTGATTGAGATGCAAACTGAGCTCTGTGAAGGTTTTAGAAATCCTTTGAGATTGGCGTGTTCAACGATCGATGCGAATTGGGAGGCGAGTGATTTTTATGCGTAAGATTCTCCATCAGTCGTACCATTCAAGTTTTCCTCTCACTCAGGTCAGCTCTGAAAGATGATCATGGTTGGTACCCCGCGATATTCGCGTCGTTTTGTGTTGTGAGCCATCGAAGCTGGAAACCAAGTGCCACGCGAAACAGGCTGCTATGATCAGATTTTTCAAATCTGTAGTTCATCGAGACGACGAGAATGTCGTTTCAAGAAACTGACCGTCGATCGATGCCAGATCGGTGGATATTTCCTCCATACTGAGCTTTCAGATTGCCTTTTAAGATTGAAAGAACCACTAGGCACGACGTGGTTCTTAAGCCCACGGTGCCTTAGCGGAGGAGAGGTGCGCGGGACGGCGCGCACGTTGCAAATCGACATTGTCGAGTTTTGGAATTTGGAATTTGGTTCCAAAAATTCTCAACTCAAAATTTGCACCTCGCTAAGCAACGTCAAGATTTAATTATCGACTCCTCAAAGATAATCAAATCATTACACTCCATTGAAATTCAAGTACTGAATTTTTTCGACAAGATAATAGAAATGGAAGCACGACTAGCTCAAGCAGAAGCACGATTAACAAGAGCAACATCTTTAGCGTTAGGAGTTGCCCCAGGACCGAGTTTAGAACAGCCGAAAAGAACAAACAAAAGGAAGAACAGAGAAGACGACATTGAGGAAGAAGAAGAAGAAAACGTAGACGGAGAAGAAATAGAGATAACTGGAGGAAACATCGATGGCGAAGAGGTTCAACCTGAAGTAATAGAAGGTCCTGCTCGCAGAGGCTCGTCAGATACGGAGCAAGATGGATCTTGGAGACCGCCTCCGCAAAAGGGAAAGGGGAAAGCTCGACGGGGTGAAACCCCATCCACAGTCGATGACCTAGACGGCGAAGAGATAGAAAGCCTAGGTTAGTTTCCTCTAACACCCCTTTTTTCACTACTCACTTCTGTTTCTAGAAAAATCTATCTCTACCTTAGTCATATCATCTCCACACCACACACGCAATTCGTAAGACGTACACATGCTCGGAAAGGAGATGTGGTATCGACCCCTGAATGGGAGGGCCCAGGGTAGAATCCTGTTGTAGTTGGGCCTGACAAAGACATGCGATGTTAGTTCGGTGTTTTGTCTCGATCCTTGATTCCTAGGCCCCGAGTTATGGGTGCGAGAATGGCAAGAGGAGCTACCCTGGCTGAGAATAAGGAGGGCGTGTTCAATCTCATTCGAGTTGAAGCCTAATACCCATATCCAGAAAAGGAAAAGAATGTTGGGAAACGAAATACTCACGATGAATGAACCCCTACTTCAACAGCAGACGGAGATAGGGCGATAATCATGCAAGCGCAGATCGATGAAATGTTCGAGACGAATCGTCGGGCGGAAGGCAATGCAATGCTCGCAGAATACTTTCGGATCTTCGCGCCAGAGTCTCAGCCGAGAGAGGGCGGAAGCAGAGGACCAACTCCAGGTCCTAGTAACTTGCGTGAACGTCAAATAGCGCCGTTGCCTAGTCGATTAAGACAACCACCAACGCACCCAGCTCCACCACCGACTCGTCCTATGCCGCCTCCAGCTCCGCTCGCAGCACAACCCCTTCAACCAGTCGCAACTAGACCCACGAGACCCGCTCCTACGCGACCAATCGTTCCAGCGATCGGGACGCAGCGAGAAGACCCAGAGCGCCAAACGCAGGCAGCCATAACGAGAGAGCCCGCGAAACGGTTGACAAGGCAGGCAGCTCCAGCACGTCGAGGAGGCCCCCCCTCATCCCCCTCTCCCTCGTCATCCCCTGAACCCCCGAGGAGGGGGAGATCACCAAGGCGTGGGAGAAGACCAACACGCAAACCATCATCATCGCCTTTTAGTGACCGGCAAGAAGATTCACCGCCAAGGCGGCAGCGAGAACGTTCAAATCGCTACAACCAACCGGCTCCGCATCACCTAATTGAGGAAGGCTTCACGGAAGCTTCATCGACTGGTAGAGATCGACAACAGACGCGGGCGGTCTCTAGGGTCGAAGCACCACGATCGTACCCGGTCGATAGACTAGAAACAAACCAAGCCATCGACGAACCTCCCTCACGAGTAAATTCGGCTGAAGAAGAGGAGTTAGCGAAGGCCCTTCTAGAATCAGGGAAAGGAAGGATGGTTTTATCGAATGGAGACGTAATTGAGAATGGGAGACGAATCTTACACGATAACTCCATTCAGATGGCAAAAGGCCTGACGCAACTGTCTCCGACGCTTCAAGTTTATATGCGAACGTTCAAGGCATACATTTCCCTCGCGGTTTTTGACAAAAATTTCTTGATCAAAGAACACCAAGCCTGGAGTACGAGGAAGGCCCCGTCAGAAGCTAAGATCTTGGAAGGAGGGTCGGGAGCGAAGGTGTATAGCGGAGATCCACCGATGGATGAGCTTACCATGCAGTATGAGCAGTGGTTAGATGCAATGTCACTCTTCATTAAATACGTTCGTCAGGAAGGATGGCAGACGCAAGCGGAGCGCTTCGAAAGCCATCGGAAATTGGTCATCGAGCTTAGAGAAGAGGCTGGATGGATGGTCGCATTGAGATACTGTAGGAGAGTACGTCAAGGTGTGATGCGGGCAACGGTAGAGAAGAGCATCTGTAACATATCAACAATCCAATCGGTCATATTGAACGAGGTGAAGATGACTTGCGAAAACTACAACGAAAGAGCGTACCAAACGAACCCGTATGCGGTAGGCGGACCACGTGAGCATATCGACCCCGAAACTGGCCTTCCGAGAGCATCATCAGCAGCGAAAGCCACAACGTCGACCGCAACCACGAGATACGACTCGGTTCAGCCAAAGAAAGAAGGCTGGCTGCCACCGCTCGGGTATAAAGCGAAGAAAGCAGCAGAGAAGGCTAAGCGCGAAGCGGCAGGGAAGTACAAAAAAGATTATGCCAGGAGCAGATATGAAGACCGCCGTTACGATGAAAGGCGTGATCGTTATAGGAGTCCTGAGAGAGGCAGAGGAGACTACAATGGCCATAGCCGGGCTAGAAGCCGGAGCAGGAGCAGAGATGGTGCTCGAGGTGCTAAGTACAGCAACGGAAAGTACAACAAAAGAAGCTAGTGAGTTAATGACAGCCGAGAACATGATGAAGAAATGAAAATTACATTACCAAACATTATGTGTCACTCATTCCAAAAGAAAGCATTGCCCCTAACGTGAGAATTGTTCCTAAACCTTTTCGCCTGCCCCCTTTTTTGCCTGAATGACCAGTCGAGAATCAAAAAGCCCAGACGTAAGCTGCTTGATGAGAATGAGCACGAGAGTCAACACACCAGTCCGACGCAGTACCACGAGAAAGAAGTGGCCAAGCAGGGTGAAGTGTGAGATGAACGTTAGTGAGTGGGAAAAAGAATTACGAGAAAGTGGTCTGCTAGAAGAAAAGAGACACATCTTGAAAGGATTCCTCGAAGGTTTTGATCAAGGAATCCCAGAAATACACCTACCAAATATGTTGTATTATTGTCCTCCGAACCACTCATCCGCGTTGAAAGCAAAGAAAGAAATAGAAGAAAACCTAGAAAACGAGATAAAGGCTGGCCGAATGTTCGGCCCATTCACCAAGGAAGAAGCATACAACGAGCTAGGTTTCTTTCGGACAAGCCCACTGGGAGCGGTGACGAACGGAGACGGTTCACTGAGGCCAATCAACGACCTATCTTACCCCAGGAGAGAACCAACAATCAATTCAGTCAACGCAGCAGTAGATAAAGACGAATTCATTACGTCTTGGGACGACTTCGATAGAGTAGTGAAATTCTTACTATCAATTGATTACCCCGTCTTGTTAGGAATATATGACTGGGCAAAAGCCTATAGGCAGATACCGACAAAGCCCGGGCAATGGCCGTATCTGATGATACTGACCTTTAATGGCGAGGTACTCCTGGACACCCGAATCACGTTCGGAGGAGTAGCCGGTTGCGGTTCGTTTGGCAAGGTAGCGGATACGTGGAAGGAAATAATTCAAAGGAAGCTCGGCTTTGTAAGAGCTTTTCGATGGGTAGACGATACACTCTTCGTGAAACCGGATGACGGATCTAATAAATTCACAATGGAAGATGTAGTGGAAGTCAGTGATCGGTTGGGAGTAGTCACGAATCCAACAAAGTGGAGAGAGTTTGCTTACACGCAAAAGTATCTAGGGATGGTTTGGGACGGTAAAAACAAAACCGTCGGTTTACAAGAGTCGAAACGCCTGTTACGTATATCGCAAATACAAGAATTCATGTCGATGAAAAGAGCTACGCATAAGCAGGTGGAAAAGTTGTCAGGACGTTTGGCACATGCAACTCTAATTTATCCACAACTACGGTGTCACTGCGTGGCAATGTACCACTGGATGTCTGAATGGGTTCACAAATTGGCTCTAAGGGACATACCAGAAGAGGTTTTAGACGATCTGAATACCTGGTTGAGAGTGATGTCAAACGCAAATCCGAGAAGACTGATACCCAGCCCAGGTGTTAGAAATGTAGCATGGGTAGGCGATGCATCGACATCATTCGGCATAGGAATCATAATCGGACGAAAGTGGGCAAGATTTCGGTTGCGTAGAGGCTGGGATAGAATCGAAGCTGATGGCACAAAAAGAGAGATTGCTTGGGCGGAAACAGTAGCACTGAGATTAGGCCTGATAATGCTCACAAAGTTGATGACAGTGGCAGGACAGGAATTCCTGGTACTTACAGATAACGTCGTGACAGAGGGTGCAGTACGAAACGGGAAGTCTCGAAATCGTTGGGTTAATCGAGAGTGGATCAAAATTCAAGATGAGACCTTGAGATTAGACTGTAGATTGAAACAGGAGAGGGTGAGGTCGGAAGACAATGCCGCCGACAGGTTGTCAAGAGGCTATGACTCCTCCAAACATGTAAGAGACGAGGTTTGGGTCAATATGCCAGAAGACCTAAAAGAGTTCATAAGGCAGGAATGAAATGAAATGAAATATAAACCACCGTTACCCAATTGAGACCCCTTTTTCACTACCCCCGTATCATCGTCGAAAGAGAGAAAAACCCCCCGTATCATCGTCGAAAGAGAGAAAAACCCCGCGTAGAAGCACATCACGAACGACTAAGATAAAAAATAATGGCACAGAACCACACACTGCCAAAACACTTCGAGACCGCAAGAAATGCAACGACCCTGGCAGGGAAACACGCAGCGTCGAGTGGTTGGATGGATAAGACGTTGAAAGGCTACTCTAGCGGAGTTTCGAAGTTCATTGAATTTAAGGAGAAAACATCAGGAGGGTTCGACGAAAACCAACCGGTATCAGATGAAGACATTTACGAGTTCATTGCGTGGGCGGGGAAGTCGAAAGTCGATAGAGCGGACGGACCAGATAGGATAATCTCATCGGTAACAATAAAAAAGTATCTAGATGGTATCCGCGCGTGGAGCATGGTCAGGCACATGAAGAGACCATCAGCCGACGCGGAGGTGGTAGCAGTTCTACTAAGAGCTACGAAAAGGAACGAAGAAGAAAAGTCGTTAATAACCAATAAGCAGCCCATAATGATCCGAGAACTCTACAAATTATTACGGGAAACGTACGGAAAATCGGATGAGCTGAATGTCGTAGGTTCAGTAGCGTTGATAGCCTTCTGGGGAATGGCGAGACTGGGCGAGTTATTGCGTAGTAAGCCGGAACAGGGTGCTTTGTTACGAAGACATATCGAGTTTGGCGAAAAAGACGGCAAGAAATTCGCAAAACTACACCTAAGGAAAGCGAAAACGGCAAAAGCAGAAGAAGTTCAAGTGATACACTTACAAGAACAATTTAATGTGTTAGACCCCGTCGCGGCACTGGAAAGGGTACTAGCCTTAAACAAATCAGCAGATAGAGACGACTTAATTTTCGCGACACCGAATCAGAAAGGAGGCATGAAGGCGTTAACGAAGCCGAGATTCCTAAAATTAGCTGGTGAAACTTGGGGAAAAGCGGGTTTAAAAACATGGTCAGGTCACTCTTTCAGGGTAGGAGGAGCATCCATAAGATTTAATTTAGGGAAACCGATGAAAACTATCGCAAAACAAGGTAGATGGAAATCGCTTACTTACTTACGTTACCTAAAGGCATACTCGGAAGAAGAGATAAGAGATACCATATTGTTTTTAGAGACAATAGATGAACGAAAGGAAAGATGAGCATTCAGATACAGAATGCAGATCAGGCGCCTTTAGGCACGTACAGAAATACAATTGACTGGGCGAAACTTTAAATATTTCAATTGGAAGAGCTGAACCTTAAAAAGCAGACAACTGACCCCGGCGACGTCGTGTAGGGCGAGCTCGGGTGGCTAGGCGACGTGCCAGGGACGGTCGTCCTAGTTATGGGGCCCGGAGCTCTACAACAGACGAAGCCGTGATTCCCGTAACTCGGAGGGTGGGTGGGCTGTAGGCGCGAGGCCGGCCGGGCGTTTGGTTCTCGAGAACCAACCCGAAGGCAGGGCTCCGCCACTCCCCCATCACGATCTCTCTGACTCAAAGTAAGAGCGATCAATTGGGTGAAGGATTCAGTTTCCTGAATATCTCACATAAGTATCATCCCACTCGTTAAACCAGAGCTAACTGAGGAGTGGGTTGAAAGAACCACTAGGCACGACGTGGTTCTTAAGCCCACGGTGCCTTAGCGGAGGAGAGGTGCGCGGGACGGCGCGCACGTTGCAAATCGACATTGTCGAGTTTTGGAATTTGGAATTGGGTTCCAAAAATTCTCAACTCAAAATTTGCACCTCGCTAAGCAACGTCAAGATTTAATTATCGACTCCTCAAAGATAATCAAATCATTACACTCCATTGAAATTCAAGTACTGAATTTTTTCGACAACCTCCCACCCACCCGGTCAGATATCAAATGAGTTAAGAGTTAACTGACATAAGAGTTAAGAGTTAACTGACATAAGAAGTATGAATCCCACCCACCGACCCAGGGCGCGAGGCCGGCCGGGCGTTTGGTTCTCGAGAACCAACCCGAAGGCAGGGCTCCGCCACTCCCCCATCACGATCTCTCTGACTCAAAGTAAGAGCGATCAATTGGGTGAAGGATTCAGTTTCCTGAATATCTCACATAAGTATCATCCCACTCGTTAAACCAGAGCTAACTGAGGAGTGGGTGAACTGCGAAAACTCCAAGTTTAACTGTGCAAGCCCCTCACGGGCGAACGCTTTTTAAGAGTTGAGGTACTTCAATGAATGTAAATTTTGATGAGAAATTTCTTAACACATCATGTAGGCAGGCTACATAATGACATGAATGACACCGCGGGAATTAACTTGTTTGAAACTCGAATGAGCGGAATTTCGGTGTCCGGGTTCAAAATTTCCTCGAATCGATAAACTCGTTCACAACTCGTTAACATTACGTTCGCCGATTTCCCTCGAGTACACTACATACTACATACACATACACAGCACTTTCAAAACCTCCAATTCCAACCGTTCAAGTATCTCACCCCTCATCATGTCCTCACCCAACTCCTTTCTTTTTTCATGGTTGATCAAGGCTTGACAAATGAAGGTGAAGGTGAGGAATGGTGAAAGGGTTTGTTGTTGTATCATGTGACTGTACATACACGGGGCCAGCAGAGTACAGAGTACAGCCCGAGGGAAATTGGCAAACCTATTGCTAACGAATTGTGAACGAGTTTCTTGATTCGAGGAAATTTCGAACCCGGACACCGAAATTTCACTCATTCGGGTTTCAAACAAGTTAATTCCCGCGGTGTGATTTATAGACTTGTTTTTCTTAAATGATTTGGTTGGTTTACTGGTCCATTATGGGTTTGAGAGGTAGAAAAGGTGAAGATAAACTTGTAAAGAAAGTGTTTGTTGAGATTTTTGGTTGTGGAAACATATTTAAAATTTGGTATCTTATTGAGATGGGTGTGAATAACACCTCTCCTCAGAGGGGTTTGTGGAACTTACAGGTTTTTGCCTTTGTTGACTTCTATCAACACTTCTAAGGCTCAGGGTCACAGAATTTGATTTGCTAGTTTTTTGATATTGGCTTTATCTTGTCTGATCAAAATGTTCCAAGAGCTGTTCTAAAAGCTAACCAAGTGACCAAAAAGCTTAGTAGTAGTACACCTGCTTGAGCGGTTTGGCTATGATCTTTTAATCAATGTGAACTTGATACACAAAAGTGACCACCAGCACCAGTCCATGATCCTTCCAAACAGTCATCACACTTTACTAATCCCTATGAATGTCTTGTGGCATGTATTAGGCTAGCACATGAAGGAATGAAATGGCACAGCACTGTAACTGTTAACAAACAGGCCTGGGATTTGAGCATTTGATGTGCAGATTATACAGATTCTTGTTGTATGTTGAATATACACTCATTGCTACATGAGGTAACCTCAGCTTATGTATTCAAGAGCTCCTTCTGAGAAACAGGTTATCATCATGGTCAATTGTTCAGATTCTGAAATAGTTTCATAATTCTCTCATACCCACATCCAAAATGTTTTAGATACCACTAAAACTTGCTTCAAGCTGAAATTTTCATTCTACCAAAAATATAATAATCCTTATCATTCCTTTGGCCCAAGCAGTCATACCAATACAAAGAAAAAAACACAATATTTTTTGTCATCATACACTCTCCAGATATGCCAAGGAATATATGGCTATTCAGATACTTCCTGGTAATCTCACTGAAGGCTTCAACTTATCAACTATGTTCAGGGCTACAGTTGACATCTGAGATATCAGGTGACACAAATAGGGGAGATGGTTTTTTTGGTTTTGATCTTGATTTTCCTCAGAGTCCTTTGGTACCAGAAAATCTCAAACAATCTTCAAGAAATGCTGTGGAATATCAAGGTGACCAACCAAATCAGGTATCTGATCACATTTATGATAGTCTGGGAAAACTTGATTATGAACCTTCACATCACATCACTGTCTCAAACCACTGTGCTGATTATGACAGTTTGATGGTAAATATGGCAGAGCTTACTTCTGAAAATCCATACTCACTCAATAGCCACACATATGATAGACATCACTTACAACCATCACCAATTGGACATACTTGGGAAGCTACTCATTGGATAACACCCCAGGTGTTATCAGGTATGCAAACCAATGATATATTTGATTCCAATGCATACATAAATGAATACTTTGATTATTTGAATAATCTACAGACATATGAAGACTTGGAAAAAAATAATCAGCCAGGGACAGATACATGTGGATCACACCAACACTCAAACCCAAGTTCAGAAATCCATTTCTCAGCTGGTCAATACTCACACATAACACCTTCTGTTACAGTAGATCCAAAAGGCACAGATCCAGAAAAAGATCAGTGTCAAGGGAAAGTACAAGAGGAAGGTATACTTGATCCCATTCTAATTGAAGGGAATGGTGTTTCAGATCAAATTAATGAAAATCCACTTAGCTATATGGACAGTGAAGAAATGCAAATGGGGAATCAATCAACAGGATTAAGAAAGGAAACCCCTCACTTTGAGCAAAATAGTGTAGTACCAGGTATATACTCTCCAACAATTTCAAACTCAGAAAAAAGGCAAGAAATATTGGAGCAGTCTGTAGGGACAACAAATTCCAATAGTGTCTCCATGCTGGATGGGACAAGACCCCTGGGTGTCAATGAGGCAGGTATATTTGAAAACATTGGAGGGTGTAGGCTCCCAGATGAAAATACACTCAGTCATACAGTAATTGAGGAAACACAAACAAGGAAACAATCAATAGGACTGAGACAAGGGAGTCCCCAATCTGATAAACATAGTGTTATGGAATCAGGTCTATACTCTCCCACAATATCAAATTCAGAAAAATGGAAGAAGAAATTGGCCAAGAGTGTGGGGACAAAACAGCTCAATAGTCAGTCAATTTCAAATAATGCATCATTGGTGAAACCCAGGGAGATGAAGAGTCAATTCAGTGAAAATCTAGCACTCAATTCCAGTCACAAAGTTATTTACAAAAAGCGGAAACTTTCTGCAATTCCCAAACACTGTATCTCCAAAACCAAAACCATTCCTGATTCACCAAACCACCTCCTCTCTCTACAGAAGATTGGAATGAAGAATTCAAGTAGGTCACCAATACTTTGCTATGAGATACATGAGTTTTTCCGTGAAATACATGAGAAGATCAAAGCCCATCATGAATTCAGTTTGGAAGAGGGGGATTCTGTCAGGCTGGCTGTAAGGAATGCAGGGGGGACAGTGGTTATGGTCTTCCTGGGTATCTTGAAAGTCTTTGAGGGTAAGGGATATGGAGAGGATGAGGTTGAACTTTTGCTTAATGATGGATGGAGCTTTATGAAAGACTTCTATAGTAATTGGAATTGGGCAGATCGTTCAAAATTTGGTTTTGGAAAATCTGAGAGATATTTTTCACAAGGTGCCTTTGACCCTGATTTTCACTTGAGATACCTGAAGCAAATCCATAAGAGCATAAATATACCATTGACATTCATCCATTCCATATCACTGCTATGGTCCAAAGAAAGAAAAAAATCAAAAATTCCTCGAGATCTATCTGAACATGGACAACAAATAATGGATGCATCAAATACCGACTCTCATGATATAAGAGGTGGACTTTATGAGAGGATTGGAATCAAGAACCATTCATTCTGGGGACCAGCACAATTCCTCAGGACAGAGTGGAACATTTATGGAGACAAGAACAGTTCATCACATTTGATATGGAAGTTGGCTTCAAATGCTGCACAGTTCCATACACCTGCTGGTAGAGATGTATGTGAAGGATTACATAGCTTCTTTGAGGGTTTGGTTCAAAAGCTACATATGGAATACAATAATCTTAATGGATATCACCCTTCCAAGAATCTCCCAGATCAGGCAGATAATGTTCTCAGCAAAAAGCATTTGGACAACCTTAGTCTGATTGTCAAGGCTGTCAGCATGGCAGAGTACAGAGTGATAGTACCTTTCATTGGTATTATCACAATCCTAGACAGACATGCATTGACAGTGGATCAATTTCAGGTACTGATACAGAATGCAATAGAATTTGTCAAAGATATATTTGGAAAATGGGAACATCTTAATTTCCATCCCAGCAATATCCACAATCTCTTTGAATGTAAAAGACTTACATGGAGATCACACAGCAAGCTACGTGACTCTGATACAATGTTTCAGACCCTCTTTGGATATGAGGATAAGAATGGATTTCCAACCCAAGTTATTTTATATCTACTAAGGTTGTGGCACATATCAGTCATGACAAGCAATCCAGGATCCAAGAACTATATTTCATTCAAAATTACAGAGATGCCTCATTGGACGGTGAAGGAATGGAATTCATCTGCTGAAAAACTGCTAGCCAATCAGGACCCCATTGATATCCAGAAGTGGATGTTTTTCATGCCCCAGGAGTAAATTTTACAGTGATGAATGAAGAATACTCACAAAACTTATCTTTTCATCCTGACATAGTTTCATTGCTATTGATCTTTGCAATTCAGAAGTCTTTGTCTTGAAATATTGAGTCACAGTCTTTCTTGGCGTTTAATTTTCAGCTTGTAGATACTCCAGAAATACATTTCACATCCTTTCTATTTGAAGCACTGGTGGGCTTGTGAAATCCCCTGGTAGCAAAGCTGAACCCCATTGTGATTGTTTTTCTTTTCAAAAATTCTGGAAGTAAGACCTGGCACCTGTGAGACACGGAAAGATTGAATTTTTATACCCTTCTTACCTATTTCTTTTTTCACCGTAGAGTGCTCCATTAGGTACACGTTAAGGGTACACAAACATTACAACCCATTTGAAAAACCCATTTAAGAAAAAATATAAAAACCCATTCAAAAAAATATTTTTTTGAACAGAAAATTCCAGAGGGACCCAATTTATTTTTCTGTTCAAAAAAATAATTTTTTAAATGGGTTTTTCTATTTTTTCTCAAATGGGTTTTTCAAATGGGTTGTAATGTTTGTGTACCCTTATTGGTTTATTATAATGTGCACTAATAGTGGATCTTAAAACATAGTGGCACTATGTTTTGCCACTATGTTTGGTGTATTCAGGATATGATGTTCAAAGGTCTGACAAATGGAGGTTTGCAAGAAAATTGCAACACAAACCCTCATCAAGAATATCTTGCAATAAAAGCTCTAGGGGTTCAGAGGTGCACCTCCAACACACATCTTTTGCCACAGTCAAAACCTAAAATGAGACAACACAATATTACCAGTAATTACTGTACAAAATAGTACAAGCTGTGACAATGCTGTTCTTCCTTGCTGGGTCAATGCTCAAGACCAAGATATAGTAGATCTCACTTTGAGAAAGGGAAGTGGGCCAAGATAGTCAACAGCAGTAAGAAGAATGAAAAATTCAAGGTCAGACACAATCAAGACAAATATGAGAAGAGCAAGTAGGCAGATAAACTTAACACCAATAAAAACAGAAACTTGGGGGGGTGGCAGTACACACTTGAGATCAATATGAGCCAGAGGATCCCATTGTGTAGATCATGTGCTAAAAGTTTTGATCTTACTCAAATTCTACAACTTGACCTGGCGGCAAGAGCCTGTTTTATGTGAACTTGCCCTCCCACTTGATGTCAGTCATTGCTATTAACACTATAAATAAAATCCTTGTGCAATGTGGCCTGGGGTAGCCCCAAAAAGGATACTTTGTGACCAGCTGGTCTTTTGCCTTATCATCTTCTTTGAGGAGGGAGAAAACTCAAAGAGTAGGGGATTCTTGAGCTTGGAAGGTGGGTGGGGCTTTACAAATGACTTTGGAAGAGATAAGAGAGAGAGATGACTACACTTGGAAGAGTCTCACAGTGAGAAGAGATATGCAAGGGTGGAGATTATTACCTCTTACTTATCCATCAAATTTTGGTTCCATAGGAGATGCAGTGTTGGATTTGATTTTATCCTCATCATAATAATTTTGATGTGCTTCAAAAGATGTTTGCTGAAGGCTTTGGTACAAGTGATTGACCAATTGTTTTAGATGTATTTGTCTTTTTGTAGTCAACATTTTCAAGTATGTCATACATTCAAACATCTGGAATCTGGTGCACTTGGTGGACACCTTCTGTACCGGATACATAGTTGAGGTCACCAAAATCTAGACTCAAAATATCTGCTGAGGGACCACATTGCTGGACCACAATCTCACCGTATTTCAGAGGATATAGGGTTTTGGACAGCCTGATTGCAGAGTTTTGACTGTATCTTTTCCTTTGTGCTGTAAACCAAAAGCTAGTATGAAATTATGCATGTATATTTTTCTTTAAATACATGATTCCTTTGTGCAGTCTGATGCTTTTCTTGTTCTCTTGTTTGACTGTACCTTTTTTACAATGTTATTGTAAAATCTGAGTGTTCTATTATGTGTTGTAATTGTGCTTTGAGTTTGCATTCATCAAATAATAAAGTCAATGTGTGTCTGTAATCCTATGTACAAGGGATAGCTTTATGATCCTGTGAACCATCCCAAAAACTGTTGTGCGCTAAAAAGATACACCATGGCTTGGGTACATGTCTTGAAAAGAGCTGCAAAAATGACCACAGAGCTCATTTTGGATGTATTTTGACATTGCGACTCAAAAAGAAATTGGTCAAGGACGCCCAATTTAACTCTTCTATGTACAAACTAAATCATTCCATTACAAATCATCAATAATAATCTTGTGACATGAAGGTATGAATCATTGATCTCAGCAAATTATTTGCAAAAAAAACTGGCCTGGGGTTGAATATCCAGTGGATTTGAGCATTTGATCTACAGCTTTCTTGAGTGCCTTGATGTAGTAAAACCTGGATCATATGGTCATTGCTACATGATATGAACTTGGATTCATGTATCACAGTACCTATCCTTACACTGCAAAAATCATGTGTTTCTCCATGGTGAAAAATGATTGAACTTGATGCACAAAATGATTAATAATGCGGATTTAATGCACAAAAATGTAGATTTAATGTAGATTTGATGCACTTTTAATCATTTTTCAAATTAAATTATGGTACTCAAGGTTGTGTATAGTTTTGTATACTTTTCTGTGTATACTTTTTTTTGGCGGGAAAAAAACAAATTATACTTTTGGCCTCAATTTCCCGGCCAAAAAAAAAACTATACATGAAAAACTATACACAACTATACACAACTTTGAGTACCGTAAATGTAATGATTTTTCACCTTGGAGAAACACATTATATTTGCAGCGTTACAAGTTGACATATCATCAATGCACAGCTTCTGAAACCGTTTAAAAGTTGTGTTGTACTCAACATCCAACATGTCTTGCACAATCACCAAACTTGTGACATGCAATAGTTTCAGCTCCACCAGATATCCAAGAATAATTTTCTCACCTTTGCCTCAAGCATTTGAACTAACATGAAGAGCAAAATTATAATATCTTTATCATCTTATACCATTTAAATATGCTTGCTCATTTATCTTTAAGCAAATGTTTGGGGGTAGCTGTGCTGAAAGCTCTATTTTATCACACAAGCTCAGGGCTAGAGTTCAGCGCTGATATATTAGGTGGTACAAATGGCATGGCAGACCTTGCTTCATGGAGTGATTATGAACCTTTCAAAGAATCAAAACCAACAGGACTGTTTGATCATAAGCTACGCAATGAAGCAAGACTGGAAGGAGAACAACTCAATCAGGTATTTGATCACAGGTATACCTGTCTTGGAAATGATGATCATGGTCCTTCAAAACGCGACATTCTTTCAACACACCCCACATATTGTGAAAATCTGACAAGAGATAGGACTGAGCTCGCCTATGATGATCCATCCTCACTTGATGTTCATCTGCAACATCTAGATGACTTGCAAAACCCCTTTTCTGGAAATATATGGGAAGATACTCATTGGTGGTCAACACCTCACATGTTATCAAGCACTCAAACAGTGGATATCTTTGACTCTTCTGTATACATCAATGAATATTTTGATTATTTGAATGAAATACATACATATGAAGACTTGGAGAAAAATAATCACCCAGGGAAAAATACTTGTGGATTACAGCAACTCTCAAACCCAATTCTAGAGAGCATCATGACCATCGAGGGAAAGAGCCAGTTCTCATATAATCAATACCCACACACCATACCCTCCCAAATTGTAGGCCAAGACATGCCAGGCCCCAAAACAATTTGTGGTCAAGAGGAAAAACAGGGGAAAGATATAATTGAAACATTTACTGATGTAGGAGATGGTACTCCAGTTCAAATAAATCCAATTAGTCATAGGGTCACTCAGGAAATGCAGTTAGGAAACAAATTACTGGAATTCAGACAGGTAAAAGCTCAATTTCAAAAAAATAGTGTTATGGAGCCAGAGATACACTCTCCCACAATTTCAAAATCAGAGAAAAAGCAAGAAAAATCGGTCCAGATGGTGGGGAGAACAAATCACAATACCATGCTGGAAGGGCTAAGTCACCTAAGCGTAAAAACTGAGGATTCAGTTTCAGAGGGGAAAGCTCTGAAAAAAGAATTGTTGGCCAAAAAACGGGGGAGGGGGAGTCATCTAAGTAGAAATCTAATACCCACTTCTATCTGCATAGATACCTCAAAAAAACAAAAACTCTCATCCATAGAGCAAAGCTGTCTCTCCAAAACCAGGACAAAGCATGGGTTGGCTGATTATGCTGTTGATCTACAAAGCATTGGAATGAACAGTGTCAATAGGTCATCAAACCTTTGCTATGAGATATACAACTTTTTTTCTGATATATACAAACAAATCACAGCCCAGACCAAATTCATTCCAGAAGAGGTGGAAGATATAAAGCGGGCTGTAAGAAATGCAGGGCAGGTAGTTGTCATGACTTTCCTGGGTATCTTGAAAGTGTTTGAAGGCAAAGGATGTGGTAGCGATGAGATAGATGACCTACTGAACAATGGCTGGAATTTCATAAAAGAGTTCTATGGTAGCTGGAAGAGCTCAGGATATGAGAAATTTGGTTTTGGGCAAGCTGAGAAATATGTCTTGAATAGTGCCTTTGATCCTGATTTTCACTTGAGATACTTGAAGCTAATGCGTTATGCTAAAAGAATGCCATTGTCATTGGCTCATTCAATCTCACTTCTATGGTCTAAACAAAGAGAAAAATCAAAAATTCCTCAAGATTTATCTAAGAGCTTGCAGAAAATAAGAGATGCATCCAACAATGAGTCTCAAAGAATTCAAGGTGGACTTTATGACAGGAATGGAATTAGAAACCATTCATTCTGGGGACCTGCACAATTTCTTAGGAGAAATTTGGAATCTTTGGGGGACACAATGAATTCATCACATCTAGTTTGGAAGTTAGCTTCAAATGCTGCCCAATTTCATACACCTGCTGGCCGGAACATATGCAAGGAAATGCATGACTTCTTTGAGGATTTGATTGAAAAGCTTCAGCTTTCATACAATGATCACAATGGACATCACACTTCCCAGCATACCTCAGCTGAATCAGATGTATTTTCAAGTGCTACCCATTCAAAGAACCTCAGTCTAATTGTGAAAGCTGTCAGTATTGCAGAGTACAGATTAACAGTGCCTTTTATTGGGCTCTTAAGGATTTTGCATTTGAACAATGTGACAGTGGGACAACTTCATAGATTGATGAACAATGTAGTAAACTTTCTCAAAGATGAATTTAGTAAATGGGAAGATCTAGATTTTTGTCCAAGAAATATTAACAAACTGTTTGAATACAAGAGATGTACATCCAATTCACAAAATCTTCTAGGCGAAACCAATAAAATGTTCCAGAATCTCTTTGGGTATTCAGATAGGAATGGATTTCCTAGCCAAGCTATATTATTTCTATTGAGTTCATGGCACACATCTGTCATCAGAAGTAATCCAGCATCAAAAAACTATCTTGATTTCCAAGTTGAGGAGATACCTCCTTGGGACTTCATGGATTGGACTTCATATGTCAAAGATATTTTACTTGATCAGGATTCAATAGATGGGCAGAAGTGGATGAGTTTCATGAATCAAGGTTGATTTTTGCCAATTGACCAGGAACAACTTGTTATTGAGTTGTATTTAGTTGACATTTCCTTGTTGATCATGTGGGATAGCTTTGCAGTCTCCATGAGTTTCCTCTTGAGAACAACAATTTCAGAGTTTTATTTCCACATTTTGTATAGCCAAAGATTCAGCTCCAGCTGTTTGTCTTTGAATATCCGGAGGTGTCAGTGAGGAAACTGAACCCCCAATCGTGGACCTTTCATATGCCTGGAGTAAGATTGAAGTTATTGAAGAAGAAGGTTTGCAGATACTAAAGCCAATCCACTGGTAGGATAGTAGAATAGTGGAAGAGGGGTTTGAGGGTGGGGGAGTAGGAATGAGCATGGAAGGGTAGACAGAGTGTTATGTCTTTGGTTTTAATATGTCATCAAGGACAGAGGTTCTCCCTGGAATATTTTGATCACCTGAGCAGCTTATCCTAAAACAAACAGGAAAATGTGTTTAATGGAGATAGCAGAGAAGAAGTTGGTGAGCACTGGGATAAAAGATAGTGTCATGAGGATAAGAGGCTAAGGATCAAACATTGAAAAATATCTTTGGTAGAAATGGTGAAGCACAGTACTGGAACAAAAGCCTATGTGGTGTTAGTGATGGCTTAAATTATGGCCATACAAAATTGGAGAAATTGGAAGTTGTGAAGGATGTCAAACATAGGAATTGAAGTTTTTGGAAGGGTTGTGACAATTGGCAGGTTTCCAATGACACCATATATAACCCCCACCAAAAGGTGCTATGGGTCATTGAGGAGCCCAAGAATAAATGTAAGTACCTCAGCTTCCTAGAGCCCACACAAAAGTAGAAGGAGTTGGGAAAACAAATTTTATAGGATGTTTGGGCATTACTTGGTTATTATATTTTCTTCTTCCTGACTCATGACAAATTACCTAGTCTTTATCCATCCAGCTTTGATTACACATACATCAAGTAGGGATCAATCACTGGCACCAATTATGTAGTGTACCTTTTTGGCCAATTGCTCAAGTCTATCCCTACAAACTCTTGTGCTTCTTGGGAACATCCAGATGTGTTAAAATCAACCTTACCTGCTGGACAACCCAATGAGAAGCTAGGTTTTCCATCTTCACACCCGCCCCTCACTCTTGGTGACTCACCCACTGCTGTGCAAGTTTTGCTGTAATGGCTCTTTGTGTTTTGACTTGCTAAGTCTCTGGGAGCTCATAGAATATGGGCACTGCTGTGGATTGTATCAATGGCCTCTGACCAATATCAAGGCACAGAGGGGTTCCTTCCAGATTCCCTGTCAAATCTCTGGCCTGGGGAGTGTGGTGAAGAGAATGATACATCCATATCATCCTTTTTGGCTGAATTTTTCAAAGTTTTGAGCCTTGATACCTCTCTGTTGATAACAGGACATGCAGTGATCGATCATCTCACTGTGTAGAATGATCTCATCACATTGGTACTGGATTCTGATTACTAAAACAATAACCATGATCTCAGTGTCAAAGAATGATTTTATGACATCAAAAGATTAAATGGAGAGGAAAGCATTCAATACAGAAAAGGAAAGCAATCGCAACGCAATGGAGTCAAATCATCAAAAATACAATGTGATGATGCCGGTCCCAAAGACATCAACAATCATAAGGAAAAGTAAATTGATGATAAAAATAGGGCATTGCAAATCTAAAGTGAAATCATTCAAGTGAAATGATTAGGACTTTTTTTAGCAAAACCTTTTTTAAAAACATAAATGAAAACCAACTGAAAGATATGATTCTTCCAATATAATAATTGACACCACAATCAAGTTGACACAAAGTTAGGCAATGAGATTGAGAAATGGTGGGTTAGCCCAACTTTGTCAAACATGATTCAAAAATTGAGGTAGGACTTTAGATAGTTTGAGTGGGATCCATTCTTTTTCCTTGAACTACTTTACTTTATTTGTTGTTTAGTTAGATTCATCATCTTCCATCTCAGAGTTGAATAATTCTAAAATCTTGTCACATTCATCAGATTCCACATCGAACCTATGTATAATTTAATGATAAGCAAATCAATGAAAAATCATCCATCGTAAGTTCTTCTATGGGTTAGTTTGTACGGACTCACATTTGAGGTTCAATTTTTCCTGCCTTTTGAAATTCAAACAACACCCAAATCAATGTGTTAGTTTTTTTTCAAAAGATAATGATTGAAAATAATCAAATATGTTGTCAAGAAAGAAACTATGTATCTTACCTTTTCATCTTGTTTTCTTTGTTTAATTTTTTCTTGTAAACTTTCTAATAAAGTGACACATCTGTTACTATTTGCCAACATTTTAATGAATTGACGATCATTATAAACGATTCCAAAGACCTAAAAAGTTCAAAAAAGATGATCAATCTCACTTTCATTTCATAAAAGTAGCCTATATAAGTAAATCTAAGATTAAATATATCAGTTTAGAAAATCAAACTTAACTTGAATTAATTTAAATAGAACTCGAGTCTTCCTATGATGCATAATCAAATGAACTGTTCTTTCATCAAGATTAGGATCATCAAATAAAAACTTAGTTGCCTCGAAAATGTTTTTAGGAAGAGATTCTTCTGATCTTAAACGGATGGTAATCTTTTCGAAATCTCCCAAGTTTGGTAAACGTGATTGATTATCTTGAAATCGATTAGGTTCATGTTCTAGTAAACCTGAATCAAGAAACTCTTGTGGTGGTCTTTTAGATTCCGGTATTCCTGTTACAACAAACCAAAAAATGTTGTATCAAACCAAGTTGGATTTGAACAAATCATTCATTTTCACTTTATAAATTCATTTGATAAAGAAAACTTTCGGTCTCATACGTCACATACCCATATTGAAGATTGAACACAATTTCGAAATTAATTTTAAATCTTCATAAGTCTTTTTCCAAGACCATTTCCTGTAATAAATAAACCAAAAAAATCATCATCATCAGTTTTACAAAACAAAATATATTTTCTTTAACATGAAGGTGAACAAAAGAAAAAAGAACTTAAAACGGATTAATGGGATGAATTGAATCTAATTTATTTTTTAAATCTCCTAAATCTAACTTCATTTCTCTTGTCCATTCCTGATTCCTCATCTCATTCAATTCTAAAAAAAAAGCACGAAGAAATCAATTGTAGTCTTTCATATATTTCAGGTAAAGTTGAAATGAAACTGATGACCTACCTAACCTTTTCTAAACTTATCAAAATGGACGTATGAAGATGACAGAAAACTGTTTGAGTATCTCAAGATCAACGAAATGAGAAATGAAATGAAATCCTTTCTTTTCAAGATGTATAATCAAACTTGACTGAGCTGATCGAATACGCATGATTCACACAAAGGATTTTCAGGTTTAGTGAATGTTTGAGAATCATTCTACACATACCTAACTTGATCGATCAGATCTGATTTCTTTGGTTTTCATCATTCCTTTCTACTTACATACACACAGGCTGGGGCTTCTTTAACTCTGAAATGAGATCCTATTGATCATAAAATCATCAAAGCAAGCAAACAAGTCAGTCCTTTTGAGGTGTAATGATCAAGAATGAGGAAAGAGATCATGGAGTTCAAGATGATCAGATCAAATCAAATTGAACGAACCTTCAGTACAGAAAAAACAAACAAACCCAAAATCCTCAAGCTTTAATGAAAAACCTGCTCCTCCAAGCTCAACATGAGAGATTTTGGTTTTAAAAACCTTCAATTTTACACTTACTAGGAATCATTAACCCACAAGTATATAAACAATCACGAGATCTCTTTAAGCCAATTGAATCCTTCTCATTTGATATAATTTCTTTTTTCAATTACAAAAAAATAAAGCATATGTATAATATAGATATATAGTATAATTCCTAAACCCCCATCATGAAACCCCCGATCTTATTCTCATTCCAAATTCTTTGATCATCATAAATCAGAATCCGTAATCCTTTCACCTTTACAAACCACTAATGATATAAACCCAAAAAAACAGTCAATTCCGAGATTCGAAAATCCTTTTTTTAAAAGAAACATCAAATTCATCAACTTACAATCATCTTCAATAATCGTTCCAGCTCCTACTTCACAATCTTTTAATTGAGCTCGATCTCCAATCCTAACTCCATCAGCTAAAACACAATTTTCAATCTTAACACTAAAAATCCACCAAACCAAAACCAAACCAAACCAAAAACCAAATCAAAACCCCCAATTGACCATAAAACGAAAACAAAAAGAGCAAACTAATCATAAAACAAAAATAGTTTGAACACTCACTTTTCACCTATCATGACTTTTTCCATGATGATCGAATTCATCACTTTAGAAGCTTTACCAATCTTTGAAAACTTTCCCACAATCGATTTCTTAATCAAACTTTTATCACCAATCACCACATTTGAACCAATACAAGAATCGATTCCGTAGCCCATTCCCACAACTTTCTGATGATTCTTTTTCATTTCTTCTTCATACGATTTCAATGCCTATTCCCAAAAAAAACAAACCACCAATCTTGTATCAATTCCAACTAAACTTTTTTTTTCTTTGGATGGATGGATTTGAAAACTTACGATCCGATTAGCTTCTACGTAACCTGAAAGCGAATTACATCGACCCACAAAACCATGTTCGAGTTCCCAAACCAGAATTTCACACTTCCAACCATCTCGAAGTTGGTCTTTTAAAAGTGTAGGATGACCTTCATCGAAACCAGACGAGACTTTAAAGGATTCATAATGATGATTTGGGAATGGAGAATGAACTCTTTCATGGTTTTTCGCTGGACTAGGTGGGGCTGTTAAGAGTGGGGTTCGGATTAGTTTAGGTGATGGTTGGAAGGGGATCGGATTGGGGTTCGTGGTTGATCGTTTTAGTGAGATCCATTGTTCATCTGGTGTTGGTTTGATGGTTTTCTTTTTCTCAGCTATCACATATCAAAAAAATCATTCACTCATCAGTCTTTGACTAGCTATGGTGAAGAAATAGAATTTCAGCTGGTTTTTTAAGGGAAATTGGATCTTACGTTTGAGGTGTAAATCAATCAAACCAGGTTGCCATTGAGACTTAGCTAACCAAGGCACGAAATCGATTTTGAAAGATCTTAATTGATCTTCTAAAGAATTAGCCAAGAGTTGAACCACAAGAGAAGAACAAAGATAAAGATGAGTAGGTAATAAAGAAGTGGTCAAGACAGGTGTTGGAAATCGGTTTAAAAGTTTTCTTCTTAAACTTAAATCTTGTCCGATTTCTTTGATATCTAAAAGTGTAGATGATTTAGGATCCAAGGTGACCAATGTTAAAGGTGGACCTGTAAAGAAGATTAGATTAGTTTTTGTAAGAAAGAAAGTGGTTTAGTGAAAGATTGATTTACTATCTTTTGTATCTAATGAACTTGATGATCTTTGATAATAAACTGAAGTTAATAAGTTTTGACTTGATCGATGTTTTTCAATTAAATGTAATAAAGAACGTGAATGGATGGATGTGGATTTAGTTTCATTGGTATTGGTAGATAAACTTGAAGAAGGTTTCGAATGAAAATATAAATCGCAAGGTACAATCACAAAAGCTGTCTAAAGTATCAAACCGACAACTCATCAATATCTGTTGCATCTGAGTTGCAAGAAAATCAAATACCACTTACTCTAATCAAACCAGATGAAATTGCCCAACGTAAAGTACCGGTTGTTCCATCCCTTTTTAATTGTCGATCTGGTATACATTCTAATCTGATTTGTAAATGTGGATGAGAATTAGTTGAGTTTGTAGAAGAAGATAATCGGGTAGGATTTGAAGATTTTCTTGATTTAAGTATCGAATTAATTGAAGTTCTTTGAGATTCAGAGGCCAGAATCAAAACATCTTTTCCCCCCAAAAAAACCAAAAAACCAAACAAAATTAGTGTGTTGTTGTTTTTTGGTATGGTTTGAGAGAAAAGAGTATAATACCAGTCAAACCACTTTCTTCTATCCAATCTAAATTATATTCAATCATAGGTTTGTTCAAGATAGGTAAAGAAGGTTTCGATACCTGAGGTGTGATAGGATGTTGATCTGTTGAATGAGCATTGACTAATGGAAATAAATCTTCACCTGGACCTGAAAGGATTACCACTAGATAAGGTAAACTTGATTGATTGTTGATGGAATTGTTGAGTGGGTTTTGATTGTATTGTTTAAGATGAGCTGAGTTTGATAATGACATGATTTGGGATTTGGGAGTTGGAGATGGTATTGGGTTCTGGTTGAGATCGATGGTGGTTTTGTTGAGAATGAGATTGAGGAAACCAATTCCAATGGACAGAACCCTTTAAATCAGACTATGGTCAAAACTTCTGACTTGTACCATCATTCAACTCATCAACTTCTCTTACCATCACTCAATCACACCTACATCAGAACTATTCACTTCACTGAAATCAAACTACTCTTGAACTGATTCATAGAATTGTCAAGGTCATGAAGACACACAGAACAGAGATATGATCACAAGTCTTTAATACGACCGATATGATTACAAGTCTTCAATCTCTATCAAGTGAGCCACAGATGATTATGATTACTTATTCCATTCTCTATCAAATCATCTTGATTCCTTGAGTTCTCCCATCCATCGAGACTGAAGTCATGAGTTGAGTTCTTGATTGAAGAAGTGAAGAAGCGGTGAGTATGCTTATAGATAGTCGAGATATGATTATACCGCGTTGTAGTCAACAGGATTTGGAAAAACGCGACTTGAAATCGAAAGAACCAACCATTCAACACACATACCACACCCACACAAAATGTCAGATTGTTCTCAACCAACAAACCTATCAATACCAATCAAATCACCTCAATCAAATGGAAAAGAAAAAGAAGAACAAGAATTCGAAATTGAACCATTGTTTTTACCTGGAAGTGAAGATGAAGATGAAGAATCAGATCAAACAAAATTAAAACATCAAGAAAAAGAAAAAGGGAAAGGGAAAGAAGAGGAAGATGAAGATGAAGATGAGATCCAAATCATCTCATCCAACATTCCAAACAAACCAAAACCAAAACCCAAACAAAATCCAGACAAAGAAGACGAAATCCAAATCATTTCATCCAATCTCTCCAAAAAACCTAAACCAGAACAACAATCGACATCAATCTTAGATCAAATCATTCCAATTGGTCAAGCTTCTAAATTAGATTTACATCATTCTCCTGAATACCATCATATCAAATCAAAGGTTAAGAAAAGGACTTCAGGTGATGATGAGAATGGGGAAGATCAGGATCGATGCGGGATACGTGATCGAGTGAATAAGAGGATGAAGGTCTCGTCGGATGATTCTGATATTGAGATCACTCATTCTAATTTCATTAACATCAATCAAATCAATGAAGAAGATACAGATGAAGATGAAGAAGAAGATAAGGACGAAGAAGAAGATAAATATTCACCAAGTTGGAAACGACAATATCTGGGTGGTAAGAATTCATGAACCCTTAGAGTTCAATATTGAATAGCATCATGAGTTGACAAATTTTGGGGTTTTTTCTCTAGGTTTCATGAGTGAAGGATTTATGGTTTATTCCGGAGCCAAACTAGATGAACTTGAACCGATCAAATTAATCAGATCCAAACCGATCTCATCATTTACATCAGAAGTAGAACTCAATCGAACCAAAGTTTTTAAAACAAAGTCTAACAAACCAGATCATGTAGTAAGGTAAGATATCAATTCAAAATCTTTTAATCGGATCTCTTTCTGATCTACATGATTGGAATGTTTCATTTCAGAGTCGAGAGTCAAAAGAATGGACATTTCGCAAGACTAAACGAATCGTTTGGTCAATGGATCGTGCCTTTGATCGATTTGAATCTATGTGAATTCGAGGGAAATCTAGTCTTTCCACCTGAAAACCCACGTTCAGGTAACCCATATAGTGTTTTCTACTCATATATGATCACTTCATTCTTTTTTGACATCTCTTCTGATTCAAACCAGGTGATACGGTCCAATTCTATATCAAAGTTTATATCACTCGAGATGCATTCGGTCCACCTGATCAATTATCAAGTCGTCTTAGAACTCATCCTAGTATGAAATCTAAACAACCAAGTAAATCAAAATCGGTGAAACCTTACAAAGTAGAGAATCCAGAAGACCAAGCCAACATTATTAGACAACAATCATTAAGCAAATTATTTGATATCATAGACCTGAAACCTGTCCAAACCATTGATCCAAACCGATCAAGTCTTTTGAAACCAAAACCCCTGAAACCTATCACCTCTTCACAAGATGGATCATCTTTGGTGTCGTCAAGTCAATTGAAATCGGTTTATCATCAAGCTAATTTAAAATTAAATGAGATCAAACCTCCTAGTGATTCTCAAATCTTAAATGAAGATTTCAAGTTAGAATTAAGAACTTATCAAGAACAAGGTTTGAATTGGTTATTGAATATGGAAACTCTGTCAGAAGAAACTAATTCGATCCATCCACTTTGGGATCAGTTTAGTGATCACTTTTTTGGTTTCTTTTTTGAAATCTTTTTGATGAGTATTTGTTTTTACTTATCATTTTGGGTTTTTCCTTTTTCTTTATTTAGATATTTTTTTCCAAAGGAAGAAGGTACTCTTGAATCGAATGAACCACTTGAACCATTTTGTAAGTTTGACTTTTCTATTCTGATAATGTTGAAAACTATTCTTGAGATGACCTGATTCCCTTGAAATCCACCCTTCGAGAACAGTTTATAATCCATATATGGGATGTTTCACCCTTCAATTTCCACATAGCGCACGTAAATCTAGGGGAGGCATTTTGGCAGATGAGGTAAGTCTATCTTTTGTATTCAGTAGCATTACTGAGTCTAAAAGAACCAAGCACCTTTGACTGGTTCATCAATCGAATTCACATCACATTACTTTCGGTTTGTTTTCGAATAGATGGGATTAGGAAAAACTATTCAAATGGCAGCCTTAATTTGTACAGCTAGACCAAAGAAGGAAGAAACCAAACTCGAAAGTGTAGATCCAAATCAATCAGATGAAGAAGAAGAAGAAGAAGAAGAAGAAAAGAAGAAGATCAAAAAGCGTATGAAAAGTTTAAAAGCCCAACCCGAACCGGTGACTACACTTGTGATTTGTCCATTAACCCTTTTAAATCAATGGCAAGATGAATTAGAAAGATGTGATCCAACTTTAAACGTTTCGATTTATCATTCTTCGGATGGGAAAAGCAAATTGAAGGATCCTACGGATGATGGATCGTTTGATGTGGTCATTACAACGTAAGATGCTATGTCTTATTTTTTGGTAGAAGAGGTTGAAAAAATTGGAGGTCTTGAGTAGATTCATGATTGATGATTCTTTTTGAGGTTTTTTTTTCTTAGGTATGGGATCGTTAGTAATGAATGGGTTAAGTTGGATCAAAAAGGAATGTTTGATCCAAACCAAAAGAAAAAGTCGATCAACAATGGTCTTTTTAGTGGTAAGTTGTTTTTTAATTCTTTTTATAAACCAAAGAAGACCCAAAACTTTAAGAAAATCAATTGGGATGACTTTTCTTGGTGTTTTTTTTTCTTTTTTTTTGAATTATAGTGGAATGGCATCGAATCATTCTAGATGAAGCACATACCATCAAGAATCGGAATGCAAGAACCACGAAGGCGTGTTGTGAATTGAAGTCGGCTAGACGTTGGTGTTTGACAGGTACACCGATTGTGAATCGATTAGATGATTTGGCTTCTTTGTTACATTTTATTAAAGTAGGTTTGAGTTTCTAGTTAGAGAATGTGATCGGATGGCTGATGGTGATGGTGATGGGATGATCAATTAGTTGGAACCTTGGGGTGATTTTTCGTTCTTTAAATCGTTTGTGACGATTCCGTTTAGTAAAGGTGATCAAAAGGTATACCAATCTTATGTGTTTTTATATCTTTATAGCAAAACGCGAGAGATCACAAACTTAAAACCCCCTGCGTGATGTTTTGTTTTATGACTATAGGCAGTCGAAGTGGTTCAAGTGATCATCGAGAGTACGGTACTAAGAAGAGAGAAATCGATGAAAGACAAAGATGGAAAGTCGATCATTGGAGATTTACCTCCCAAATCGATCGAAATCAAATCATTAAAGATGAATGAAAAAGAAAGCAAGATCTATGAGATGATGTTCAAGAATGCGAAAGCGAGATTTTTAGAAGTATTAATGGCAGGTACGGTGATGAAACACTTTACGATGATCTTAACGATCTTGATTAGATTAAGACAAATCGTTTTACATCCAACGATTGTCATTCAAAGAGTTGGTATTGAGTTTTTTGATCAATTGATTCGAAATGAAAACGATCCAGAAGAAGAAAAGTGGATGAGATCATTGATTAAAGAGTTTGGAAAGAATCGATGGAAGGATGGATTGGATGAGAGTCATGAGTTAAAGAAGAAGGTTAAGAAGGTTTTGAAGTTGAGATCAGAGGAAAGTAATGAGATTGAAGAATGTTCGATTTGTTTAGATGTGAGTGAATTTTTTTTTGATGATTTCTCTTTTTTTTAGGGATGGAAATCGAAAATTCAATGAGTTTAGAATTGGTTTTGATTTTCTTGAATCTTCCGGTTACACATAGTTTATAGATTCTAGAGTCTTTTTGCCTTGTATGCATTCTTTTTGTAAAGAATGTATTATGGGATACGTAGAATCTAAAATGGGGGAAGAGGTAAGTGAGATGTGATTTGGAAATCTAACCGATCCAATTTGAAACTGATAATCGACTGTTGTGGGATTTCTTTTTGACACAACCAATCATATAGACCATGTGCGCAAATTGTAATCAAGTGTTTGTGGAAACTGATTTAATAGAATATGTAGGAAAAAAACAAAAACCTAAGAAGATGTTGTGTCCAAGTTCGACTGCTACATCAGAAGCTAGTACACAAGGAGAAGAAGAGATTCGATTTGATGATGAAGAAGAAAATGAAGAAGGTTTCGAAGGATATCTTAAATCGAATCATGGATTTATTTCATCTACTAAACTTGAAGCTTTAATCAAGATTTAATGAAGTTAGAAGATTCGAACCTGAATTCTCTGCTGTGGTGTTTAGTCAATTTACGGATTTTTTAAACTTACTTGAGT